TTTAATTTATAACAATTATTTTGATCTTTAAAAGAAATTTAAGAAAAATGATCAGTTCATTCCCATAAGATTATTATTTTATATTATTTGTTACAATCATTATCATCATTATTAGCATTTTATCGTCTATTTTTCTTTTTTTTTTCATTTTCTTTCTTTGTGAATTAATGCAATTTTTCATTGATAAACGATAATTACATTCACTATTAGGAAATGATAGCATATCAAATGACTTGTTTATCTTCAATCTTTTCCAATTATTGCTGTGATAGGGAAAATTCATAGCGAGGCAGAAAATAAGATGAATATCACTATAATTATTTGTATCAATCGTACCTTTCGATGATTGCTAAATACGTTATAAGCATCCTGAAAGTGTTCCGTTCCACCCAACTAATATCGTTTATGGTCATTTTGAAATGTAATAATTGAATAATAATTATAAACATGATTGATTCTCAGTTATTTATTTCTGTACTATATTCTTTTCTCAAAAGAAAAAAATCTGATAAGATAATTAATGGAATTATTATATTTCATTATTGTCTTGTATTTCATTATTATCCGATTGTTTGTATGTTATCAGAATCAATCATACGAATTTTATTCAACGAAAATTTCCATCTTTCAGTCTTTCTCTAATTTGACAGTTTAATTATGAAATTACTCCTGTACAAGAATAGATGGAGAAAAAAATGATCGAAATTATTCCAATCTTTCCAATCCGTGATTAAAAAATTAATTTTCTAGTAAAATTTAATCATAATTATGGCCTGATTTGTTGTTTTTTAAAACTATCAAATACTGCAATTTCTTAATTTTCACAGCTGATTCAACTCTTCAGCTAACGGCTAATGTAGGAAAGATAAAATGTGCAACATCAACTGCTATTATCGTTATCAGTAATTGTTGCATTGACAAGAAATGATAACTGAATTTAGATAATATTGATTCCAATCATTTTCACAAATCATGAGTGTCATCTTGACTTTAAGATGTCATTCGAAACTAAACCCAAAATCATATCTGGCTTATCACTGCTACTACTGACCTCCGTGGTCAGTACTATGGCAAAGATAATATGATTACAGCAATTGATGTGTGGAATGGTTAAGCTCGATATCTTACATTATCGATTAATGATGATACTAATTCCTTCTTTCAGGATGGACAAACAAAGCGGCAATATCGGCATTCATGATCAATGGTCATTTCTGTGATGACCAGTGGTCAATGGTCACTATGACACAATGGGAGAGAGAGAGGGAGTGGACAGGTGGATTAAGACGGGTGGGAAAAGTGAGAAGATTGCGGGTGTTGACTATTGTCACGAAATATGGTGGCAACGCGTGGGTGGAGATAGTGATGTCATCCATTTTGGCGCGTCGTCGCATATCACACCGCTCAGTTCTGCGAAAGAAGGAAGGAAGGGTTAACAGAAGTGAAATGAAATCTCTCTTGAATTTTAAACACAGAGAGGATGAGGAAGAGGGAGAGAAAGAGAGTGAGGGTGTGTATGTGTGTGTGTCAAGTTGAGTATTGATTTTCTGGGGGAAGTGGAGATAGGATCAGAGTGTGCATAGTAGCTTGTATTCGTGAACTTTCGTCTGGTGTCATTTTTGGTGACACCTATTTCACTAATTCTCGATCTTTTTTGCTCTCACTAGCTTTCTCTTCGTCATTCTCCACTATTTTCATCAATTTCTCTCCTAATATCTGACCTTTTTTCATATTCGCATTCTCGACAATTTTCGTTTCTCATCAATTTTCGTTTACTTCCGATTTTTTTCAGCACTCTTCCCTCAGCTCTCTATCATTTTTCATCTCTCGTTGTCCATCTCTTACTTTCGACCATTTTCAATTGTTCCTTCCTCCCGCTCTCGACCATTTTCATCAGTTTTTTTTGTCGTTATTCAGTTTCGTTCGAGCACATATTTGCATAAGAAGAAGAGGCTACCTCAGATGTCGAATTTGTTTGCTCATCAATTGATTGCTCTACAGACTACATGCCTTATTGAGGTAAGATGGAAGGTATTATTTCCTCACCGATATATCAATCATTTGACCTAACAACGGATAATAAAGCAACTCTTTTTGACCTTTACATTTTACTCTTCTTAAAAGTATTCATTTCTATGCAATGTATTTGTGATATTGTCATCACCAAAAAACGCTTTATATTTATCCACCATACAACGATAAGTGATAAACGGTTGTTAATTATTAAGTTGCAATTTCGTCCCATTTTATTAGAATGATTTTTAAATTTAACTTTTTTTTAGGATTTCTTTGTTTACTTATATAAAAGAATGCGTATATGAGTTTGACATGTACATAAATACATATTTAATTTACCTCTAAAGGTTAAGATTCCTATACTGTTAACAGTATTAACTCGTATAGGAGAAATCCATTAATCTGTAATTGTTAATGTTATTGCTGTGAACGATGTAAGATATTAATTATAAGAAGAAAGGGAAAAAGTTCTGGGTTATCGGCAATTTTGGTCATATTTTTTTCTTGAAGTTTAAACTTTCTGAAATTTTTTGTTCCAAAAAATTCACCTAAAATAACTGAATGTGAAGTTTGTTATATATATTCATTTGTTAGCTTTGTTTGTTGCCAATAATGTTATGATAAAAATTACATACTCATTCGCAGGACGTTCATAGGAATGAGATAATTATATAATGACAAAAATCTAAATCAAATAATCGAAGTGAAGTAGGCCATTTTGTTGAGTAGTCTATTTGATTAAGTTATTTAAGTGTAAGGCTTTCGATAATTGCTGATTCCATCGTCTTATAGAATGCATTTGTGCGGCCATACAATTTAATCGTTTTTGTATCAATTTTATTTTACATTAATTTTATTTTGTAGCAAAAATAAAGGAATTTTTATTTGTCTCAGAGCTAGTCTTGACTGATTTTCCGATATATTTGCATATATGTAAAAGTAAATATTCAGTGATGTCATCAGTGGTTTTTCGTTAATTACATTTGTAATCTCTAATATTTTTAGAATGCTGCTATTTCTTTTTATTCCATGGAATGATTTTGGCTTTATGTAGAAAAACTTGTACGAATGATTAGACTTTGGAACGAGTGTTTGATAATCGAGATAATTCGATATTTTATATAATTTCACAGGTCAGTAACGCAGAAACTGTTTATTCTCATTCCTACTTCTTACACTTTGAAATTTTTGTTCGGAAGGGATTAATGATTAGAAAGAAAATTTTTCTTAAGCAGATAGCAACAGGTGATCGTTTTACCGAGCTGTGTAAAATTAAATAGTACGATTCTGAAAAAGACAAAAACTGATATCTATTTCCGGTTGGTATGTGCCTAGTTGCATGTAAATGTATTGTGTGTATGTGTGTGTGTGTGTGTGTGTGTATGCGTGTGTATGCGTGTGTTGTATGTATGTATGTAGGAATTGATGAAAAGCTTACAGCAACCTTCATTTGTTTTATTTTCGGGAAAGAACAAGCTTGGAGCCTGTCGGTGTGTGCCCTCATTATTAGCAGCTCATTGCAACCTATTTCGCTGAATTTCATTTTCTTGATTTTTTTTTTGTTGATATAAGTAGCAGACAATTGCACTGTACGGTTGATTTTATCTGTATCAGGTTTTTTTTTTCTCCTTTCAGGAATTGAATTTTTGATGTTGCAAGCGATATCTGTGAATGAGTGGGTAATAAGAACAACATTTTTATGTTTTGTAAAGCTTGAAATTATAGTAATCTTTCATGGAAGTTTCTCCACCATCATATCTTATTCTGCAGTTAAGTTACAATCGGGAACTGTATCGCAGTAAGTGAAAAGATGATCTTAATTATCGAAGCAAATATCTCTTAAAAATATTTTACAATTTAATAATTTTGATTTTGCAAATTAATGCAAAAGAAGAATAGTGATTAAATGATTATGTGCATCTGTTTATGTACATATAAGAACATGTTACCAATATAATTTTGTGTGCGTGAATGTATTTGGCATGTACTTACCTTCACGTTTATTACCGTTATATCGTGTGATTTAATGTAATTTACGCACCTGGTCGAATCGCACACTTTATTGCTAGCGTAATCATATCACTATAAATTTATTAGTTTTTGCCCTTGAAACTTTTAGAATTTAATGTAAACTGACAAGTAAAATAAAAAAAATGTTATATTAAAGAATTGTTTATGGTATTTATCTAACGAGCTGACAAGAAAGAAAGCAGGTGGTGTTTCCGGTGTAATATATTAATCATTCACTGTTTTAGAATTAATCTCCTCATTCATGACGACAAATAATTTTTCTTGCACTTTTATTCTCAATTTTCTTAATGAAAAAAAAAGTGTTAAGATTGGTTTCTGGTTATTTGTTGTGCATTCTTTCATTTCTAATGTATATATGTATATATACATGTGTGTCTTTAATTCCGGTTCTGTACGCTCGGTGGTGGAATGTCGAAGTTCACAAGTGTGCATTTTCGATGTAGCTGTTGCTTGCCGATATACTTATCTGGCTGTGGAAATTCATAATTTTGTCATTTTTTTCTTACATTTTTTGGACAAATCGTAGTAGATAAGTGTTATATTTATTGCTATCTTATTAGTTCCTTTTTGTCACTCGTATTTTAAGGTGGAAAAAATTTTGGACATTTATTAGGATATTTAACTATTTCTAGCCATCGAAAAAACTGAATTTTTGTATTTTTCGAGCAAATGTTCATGATATTTTAGATTCTTGAGACGTATTTATTTCAGTGGATTTAATAAGGTGTATCATGAGCCATCATAAGAGCGTTGTGCAAAGCTCTTTTTCCGATATGCATTCACGTCATTATTAGAAAATGCGTTGCATAAAATGGGTGCTGGTGACTCATTCATCAAATATTCGGTTTTTGACTTTTTTCTATGGCGTGTGATATAATAGCAAGTATAAATAAATGACATGCTTGTTCCTTCCTTATTTTGCAGCCACAATGCTTGTATTGTTTGGTTTTTAGATGGCAGTAGAAAACAAAAATGATGGTAGAATGATGTTCATTGCCATATTTATTGCTTCCCGTTTACTGATTTCTACCCACTGCTTTACTGCACTAAAACACAATTCTCTTGGGGATATCCTTAGTGACGACTCAATCAATGTAAGTTACTTTTCATTTATGTCTTATAATTACTCAAATTTTGCAAACGGGATAGACTTTTAATGATATTATCGTGAATTCTTTTCATCATTATGATAACCTTATCATACTCATTTAAGGTTGTGTCTTTTACTTAGAGTTTTGGCACTGTCAAGTCTTGTGTCAAATTATTATATGTTTTTGTGATGGATATGACCCATGACATTTGATTTTTTTGAATGATAATTACTAATTGCATTTTTAAAGTTAGAACAGTAGTAATAGTAATTAATGGTTTATTCGATAATTGCTTCCAACTTTATGACTGATCTGGCAAGTTATTTCAAAAACCACGGTTTATATGTATTCATAATATGAATTGTTATATGGCGTTAATATCAGCCATTTCAACTGATTATAGTTGAAAGAATCGTCTAGTGGAAGAGAAATGAAACTTCCAGCGAAACCAGTTTTTTTAAAGAAGCATGGCATCGAAGGTCTTAATTATAATCTAGACAATAAATCCCGTCCCTTCATTTACTGTGATGTAAGTTTCAGTTGCGTACGAAAGAAAAATAACTATTAATTTCACAGCAGCAACAATTTAATTTACAGAAATCATTTTTCTATTTAATTTTACAGAAATGATTTTTCTTTTTTCCTGAATTCTACCAGGGCATTTTCACAAGTTTTTAGTCCTTTTCATTGCTACTGCTTTGCAGCAGGGATTTTTAAAAAAATTAATGCACAAAGTTTTCCAGTTTTATGATATTAGTTCATGTGATCCCATGGAACGGAATTGCCCGACTACGAAAATGTGTTATGCTTCAGTAAACAATCATCGCTTAGGCTGTATGGCTGCTTTGGTAAATAATTCTTTAACACGGGTAACTTTTGTTTCAATATTTTTCTGATTCTTAACAATGTTGCTAACTTTATGCATCTATTTCTTTATACATTTTTATTTTACATTTGTTCCACCCTTTATCGAAGTTCAAAGAGAAATTCTTGCTAATGATATTTTAACATTTTGCTTTTAATTCAGGGTGAAAGTCGTATACAGAAATTAAACAACTATGACAAATTATGTGAAACTTAAAAAGACACAAGTTTGTTAATGAGATTCTCAGTTATATAAATATAAATTGAAAATTAGTTTTTTGCAGCAGGTAACTTTAAAAGGCTGCTGGATGCATGATGGTAATTTGGGTAACTGCGATAATAGCCAATGTATTGCTGACGAACGACCAACTGGACATGGTAATGCTGCTTTGTTCTGCTGTTGCAACACACACTATTGTAATCGACGTGTGCAATTTCCTCCACAGCGCATAGCCACTCGTAAGATTACTTTTTATTACTTATGTTTTTTTTTTTTTGTTTCACAACTTAATGTGAAGGCAAATTAGCTTATATAGGTACTCGAGCAATTTGCCGCATTTATATTATTTTGTTGCATTGTTTTAAATTATGGGTTGAGTGAATATTTCAGAAACATCTCAGCATATTTTGTATAGACCCTTTACCATTTGCAAATTAGCGTAGTGTATTAGGTGTTGGAGATTATAATGTTACGGGAGAAGTGTGGCAGTGCAAGTTCACTGCATTGGTGTATTTGATCATTCAATTATTTTGTTTAAAATATTTCTTCTCACATCGCATTTGCATATAATAATTCTCACATATTTTTCGACTGATATCATTTTAGTTACGTAATTTTGAAATGATTTTTCTCCTTTAGAAAACCACTTCCGAAAAAATTTGTTGGTTTTTTAATCAGCATTTTACTGTAAATAATAAAGAAAGAATATTTTAGCACCCCCAACTACGGTAGAGCCAACAGAAGTGGAAAATTCAGGATTCTTTGGTGCAGGAGGCAGAATGTTCGCTATTGTTATTCTTGGCTTCTTTTCTCTTTGTGCACTGACTTTGTTTTGCTATTATAGTTATCGAGAATACCGAAACAGTCGACATTATAAAGACAAGGTTGTAATTAATTAAGCTTGATATTTTTTTACTCCCACTTTAATGATACAAAGCATTCTAAGAGATAATACTCTCTAAAGTATGATAAGCAGAAACCATTGTTTGCTTAAAATATCTTTCTTTTCCTCGACAGGCTAGCGATGCATTTTCGATGCCCATCGTTGGTGATGCGAAATTACCTTTGATTGGAGCCAGAAAAGATGATAATCTAAAGAATATCACCAATCTTGAAGTATGTTTTTTATTCAGTTGTTTGTTTTAACATTTTCAATTGTGTTGACTATTTCTTAATGTGAATTATTTTGAATTGGTGTTTAATATTTTAATAAGCTGCACGTTTTTAATTTACCTGTAGGTTCTTATTTTGCATGAAAATGGTAGCATAAGTAAGAAGCATTATAAAGCATGGTGTTCATTTATAATACAATTGGAATTAATATTTAGTTGTAGAAACATCTACAGAAGGATTTTATTCTTACAAAATATTATCTGTAGATATTCACTTAATCAAATCTCACGAATTCTGCCCATAGTTGCAAATGGTGGTGAGTCGTGAAGCGGAGAGTAATCTTCACAATATTTTATTTTGAGTTCTAATATTAAGGATCTTTTTTATTCTAATTTAATTTTATTCGATTTAGTTAGTGGCTCGTGGTCGATTTGGTCAAGTATTTCGTGGTATGTTAGACAGTGAAACTGTCGCAGTAAAAGTTTTTCCATCTGTTGACGTCAATAGTTGGATTGTTGAACAGGTTCGAATGTCTTATCCCTTTTTTTCCCGTTATCTTTTGAAACTCTGCAAGATCTTATTTTTTCAACTTAAAATTAGAATTACTGCTAAACAACAATAGAAAAGAGAGCGTAATTTAAATTTTTCTCTGCATGTTTCACTTTGCCTATAAGTTTCACTACTCACATTACATTGCAGGATATTTATGCAATAGCTTCTCTTCGAAGACATAAAAATATACTACGATATTTGGGCGCGGAAGTTCATGGAAATGATTTCTGGTTAATTACAGAATTCCATGACAACGGTTCACTGTTCGATTTTCTTCATGTAAACTGGATTTTTTAATATTTCTGTAATATTCTAATTTCGTTGGATTTCATTAATCTTAGTTTTAACATTACTGATATCATTAAAATAATTTCTATAAATTTATTGCAGTAGTTGTAATTTTCTGTTTAATTTGAAAATGTTTTACTGACTACATTTTAATATTTTAAGATGCTTATTGGTCTTCAGTTAATTTGTTTAAGTCTTTTTAAGTGTGTCGTTTAATTTTCTCATTTGTATTTGTAACCACTTTTCTCTTCGAGAAGTTTTCACCTCTAATTCTTCGCGATTTTTTTTACTTCACCGCTTTTCAGTTTCACGTCTTAACTTTGCAAGAATCGTTGAAAGTAATAGCTTCAATGCTGAGAGGGTTATCTTTCCTTCACGAAGAAAAAATGATCGACGGCGAGCTAAAACCTTGTGTTGTGCACCGGCAAGTGTATCTTCATTCACATCATAAGTCACCACATTTTTTTACCTAGCTCTCGTGATATCTTAATTAGAAGTTTTAAAAATTTTATCAGCTAGACTTTCTATCGTACCATTGATAAATCATTTGGATAGCTCTCAATTGAATAGAAATTTAATAGACCTGACTAAAAAAGAAATGAACAAAAAATCTCGGAAAATATATACACTTCTGTGTCCTTTAGTCCTACTTTTTTAAATAAATTTGTTGAGTTTAGGGATTTCAAATCGCGAAATGTACTTTTGAGGCTTGATTTAACTTCTGTAATCGCTGATTTTGGTCTAGCGTTGAAATGTGAAAACGGTCAAATGCCATCAGATGACAACCATGGACAGGTAAGCAGTATTATTATGTAACTATCTATTTCACCATAAATTTCTGCATAGTTTTTGACCCATCAGTTTTGAGAGTTATTAATCTTTTTAAAGCAGAAAGTAAACAGAAACTTTAAGTGTTGGATTTTCAGGTGGGAACGCGACGTTACATGTCACCTGAAGTGTTGGAAGGTGCTACCGAATTTACAGCCTTTGCTTTCCGTCAAATTGATGTATATGCTGCTGCTTTGGTTTTATGGGAGATTCTTTCGCGAACATCAGTGGATAAAGGTAAGTTCTGAATTTATGTTACGTCACTTCCTTGCGCATGTAGAAAACCACCCACTGGATTTTTAAATGTGAAATGAAAGCTGTTAAAAATTCTATTATTATTGATTCTTTTAAAAACGATTATCTTCAAATATTTTACAATCAAACATGCAATTGAATCAGTTAGAATTGATTTCTTACCAGGAGCTAGTATCACAATTATATCGCGACATTTTGAAAAAATCTTCCATCATGCAGTCGTCAGTTGCACTGGTTTCTGTTTCTAGAATTTTTCTATTTGAAGTAAAGTTTTTTATAGAAAGTTTCTTGTACGTTGCGTCATCGCTATACACTTAGATTTCTTATGATGCTTTAGATGACTTAGTGGGAGAATACGAAAGACCCTATGAAGCGGAAGCTGGAATGCAGCCAACATTGCATGATATGAGACGAGTTGTTGCTGTGGAGAAAAAACGACCAAGTATTCGGGCTGCAGTTATGGAACATAATGTTTGCTTTTTAAAATTTATTGGGTTCAATAAGGCAAATGATTAATGTTTTAGTTCCTTTATATGACGTATTTCCATACTTTTGCGGTTTCTTTTTAATCTTTATCATCTGAAAGATTTTTTGGAGTTTTTATTCACACAATTTTAGATTGGTGGTGTTTTATGGAAGACAGCTGAAGATATGTGGGATATGGAACCGGATGGCCGTATAACTTCTGGCTGTGCTTATGAACGTGCCAATACATTATTCATGTCTTATGCTGCTGATCTAAAATTTGAGAGTGCTGTGCAACCAAAAAATTCTCCAAGTTAGTTCTTTTATTGTAATTTGTAATTTCATTATATTGCTACGTGTTAACTAAAAAATCAATCAACATTTTATGACATTTGTAATATAGTGACCTTATATTATTCTTTCTGATTTTCATGATTAAACAAGTCTTCGTTTGCTCTTCAATTTTTCAGTTTTTCACTTTCACATCAAGTACTATGATATGTAATGATGATCGTGTAAATAATTTAATTGAGCAGTAATTTTCCAAGCTATTCATTATGCTCCTATTATTATTACAAGATGTTTAATATGACATATTATTTTTAGATGATCCACTATCCCCATATCCACAAGATTGTGGAGTGGTACCAGCAGCACTGCTCATCAAAGATGGTTCTTTGGGTTCTAATGGATTCCATGCTTCAATGGATGAATATGCACAAGCCTATTCAGCACCTCCAAATGTTCGATACCTTTCAACTGTCGATACAGAAAAAGTAAATCAAGATAATATAATTCCCTTATCAAATCAAGATCCTACACTCTCATGATGATTCGCTTGTAAATGGATATACTGTACAGTTTATTCTCCGCTCGTTGTTTATATTGCGGTAGTCGAATCGGACGGCATAAAGCGTTGCTCCATTGGTGGTTTAATTTATTTAATCCTTGCTTTTTTCAAATTATTTAAAAAGTCTTGTTGTCAGCTTGCAAATTATAATGCCCTATATTTTTACACTTTAAACATTTATATGTAAGTATCCGATTCAGCATTTAATGTATATAAAGTTGCATTAGAAAATGCAAATTTTATTTTGATCTGTATTATCTGTTGTTGCCACTGAAGGTGACACTTTGAAACATCAACTATATTCATTAGTGCAACGCTAAACGCCATTGTTCTTTATAATAGATTTGAATCTGATCTAAAAAAACTGTTGTTCGTTACTCCATGATTCCACACAATTCAAAATATCGAAATAATTAGTTGAGAAACTTTGTCTACTTTGGTTGTAGGAGTAAGGGAATTTGACCAATTGTTTAAATGAGAAAAGTTGGATTGGAGCTTTCTCTTTTTTTGAAGTTCTGGAAATTTATTCGTTCAATACCTCCTCCATGTGGCAGTGAGAAGATCATCCATGTAATATAAATCTGTTTGTTACATTGTTCATGTATGGTTTGCTTCTGTTATTGTTCGATGTACATACTGTAAACTTTATATATATTCACATTCTGCAAGCAGGTATTCTATTATCGCTACTCTCTTTGCTTACAAATCATTGTCATAATTCAGAACGGTGAGTAATGGTTTTTGTCGTTTCTATTTTTTTTTTAATCTGTAGTAATTTTGATCTTGCAACTAAGAAATTCTTGTAAATTTATTTTTTCCCCCTTCTTAATTGTTATCTTTGAAAGTTTGTAGTAAGAGATATTTGTCTTATGGTTAGCATCTCATAATACTGAGATCTGGATCAAATTTTCTGATAATTTAGGCGCGTAATTCATGCCCTGTAGTCAGATATTGATTGAAGTTCGTCAATATCTTTTGTTTTATTTCTAGAGATTAGCATTAATAATGAAGAGATAAATATTCTGAATGGTCATTAGCTTAGTTTTAAAAGCAATACGGAAAAGACGAATGGATGAAAAGATCTTAATCGGTTGCTAATTTTTTTCAAATAAAAAGCGCTTCTTTTTTTATTTGTGTATATAACAGTATGATTAGGAAGCAGTCCTGTTGATGATCGATTCTTTCTCTTATTTTCCCCTTGTTTTTCTTGTATTGTTAATCGTTGCTTTCGATATGATTGTGAATGTTTTTGAAATTTCAATTTCATATTTTATTAAAATGTTTTTTATTAGATAATATGAGCTCATCTTCATTCATCTGACTATCATTAGATGAATGTTGACTGTGTTCAATTGTAATGGTTTGAAATGTGAATTATGGATTATAAGAAGCAAATAGGGATATTCGTAATGAATATAAGACATATTGCTATCTCGTTGTTAATTTATTTTAATGTTAAACGAAATTGTAAATGTGTAAATTGTAAATCAATTCCCTGTTCTCTGTTTCCTTCTCCTTTTATCACTTCTTTATGTTTGTTGAGTTCAGGAAAAAGGAGAAGATTGAATAAGATGTGAATAAATTCCTGTGTATCAGTTTTTATGCGTCATCGTGGTAAGTAAAGGATGTGGGTAACAAAACCATCTACATGTACATTATGGATAATATAGTAAATCGAAAGGAATCTAGTCGTTAAAAATACTGTGAGATTTATGAATTTTATAGTTATTTCTCTTTGTATTGGAGGATGGTGTAGTCAGATTTTTGATTTTGCTAGTGAATAACTTGCAGCCCTTAAGTACATGGGTTCTTAAGGTATTTATAAAAATTTTCGTGGATGAAATTTTCAACTATACTCCTTACCTTTTATGAACATAAATTTGCTGCTATTGTCTTTATCTACTGAATCTTTTTTTAAAATAGAATCTAATAAAAATCTGTTCCGGTTTTTATCAAGTAAAGAAAAAAACAAGTTAATTCAGAAAATTTAGAAATATTTATGTTCCTTACAGGTAAGGAGTTATAAATATTTTTTATATTTATTCAGCGCTTGAACTAAACTTTTGGATTATAATTCATTATAGTCGTGCAAGGAAGATGTCGGCCACAGAGCAGATGGCACAAATGCTAAACGAATTAATGGGTGTAAAACGAAATGCGGATATTGGCGATACGGATGAGCCGGATTTCGATGAACCCGATGTGTGCAAGAATTTCTTAGTTGCATTCTGCCCAAATGAAATGTTCAGGAATACGAAAGCTGATCTTGGTTTCTGTCCAAAGGTTACTCTAAATCACCATCAATTATACCACATTTCGGAGAAAAATCTATAATGTATCAGTATCTTTTTACAGATTCATGATCCAGCTTTACGACTGAAATATCGCGAAAGCAGTCGTTTTGAAAAATTAGGATATGAAGAAGAGTTTCTAAATAAAATTCGTCGTTTGGACGATGAAGTACGTCGAAAAATTGAAAAGAATGAACGTCGTCTTGCCATGACACAACCAGTCATTAAAGGTTGGCTAGCATTAAATCTGCAATACAAAAGTTTATGATATATCACGATTATATGACAAATTTGTTTTTTATTTGAAATTTAAATTTCAAAGAGGAAAATTTGGAATGATTTGTTACAGATGCTTCAAAAGAGGGCAGTGAGGGCGAAACAGATGCACAACGTAGGCAAAAAGAACTTATTGCTGAGCAACAGTCTAATCTATCTGCCAAAATCAACGACTGTATGGAAAAAGTAAATTTTCGCTCCTCTGTCTTGGCAGCCGTTGACGCAGTAAAAGTAGAAATAACTCTGTTACAAAATCAGCATAACTTTTTATATAGATACATTTTCTCTAACACTAATACCATTCATAATCATGAATGAGGATGATGCGATGCATTCATTGGATTATTTCAAAATTTTTTTTTGAAAGTTTTTTTGGAACTTTTTGTCGAAAACGGCTGCCATTTATTTATGTTTATGTTTTCTCCATTTGTATATTCTTTATTTCATATTAGTCAGTAAACTATTTGTTCTTGAAATTTCAAAAATTGTCTATCGCATGAAACTTTCAAATTCATTTTCCGTTTTTTGAGTAATAGAATTTTTGTCTTACATCCATTATTTTTTCCATTTTCACTCTTTTTTTGCCTCTATTTACAAAAACTATATGTCAGTTTGCTCGCGTATCCTCCTTCCAATCGACAGTCTCACTGGCGGAAGTCCATTTTTGTTGTTTCTTGCCTGCATATTGGAGGTCTTTTTAGGTGCGAAAAAGCGTTTAAAATGCCTTTAAAAAGGAATTTTTTCTTTAGGCTTCCTACACCTGTGAGCAAATTCCGTGCTTTGGAGCCAAAACGCCAAATCGTGTATACCTCAGGTTTCCCATCATATCATTTTTATTGTGTTAACGCGTTCGCTTCACTGCTAATGCTACCATTTAACATTACAGTTTACATACTAACTGGTTTGTTTTTAATATTAAAGGCCGAAGCCTTGGGGGCATTGGGTAAAGTGGATGAAGCGAAAGAGCAAGTGCGACAAGCGGATAAATTCAAGCAAGAGCGCGCGGCTTTGGATCGTTTGCTAGCACAGTCAGCGAATCCTACAAGTCATATCGAGGACCTCGCCAATCAGCTTTCAAAACCGATGGAAGTTTGTCAGGTTGCCTTGCGCTATTCCCCTAAAACTAAAACAGTTTTATATTTTATGCAGTATATTTCCGCAGTCAAAGTTGGTTAACTTGTTGGAGGAAGATTTTTTCCAGACAAATTGGAAATTTATTAAGAACAGGAAAAGGCAGCAATAGAAAATAGTATCACTTTCTAAGTGTTGTGCAAAAAAGTAAGCTTTTATAAAGTTTATTTTGAAAGTAAAATTCCTTAAAGGTCTGTGGATGTTTTATGCTTGTAAATGATGTGCAGCAACGAATAGATGATCATTATGCCGGTAAACAACATATGGCATATGCAAGAATTCGAGCGACAATCGAAGAAATGGATCGAAAAAGAGAAGAAAAACGAAAGGTTTGCAATAATAGAAAATTTTATCAGAAATACTTACTAGGAATAGTGACAGTTAAATATCTTTTTTATTTCTTTCGTTTATATTTATGTATTAGATTTTACTCAGCAAAGACACAATTATATAAATTGTGGGTATCTTATTTTTTCTTTTACTTTACATCTGGAGACGATCTATTTAAAGAAGTGAATTCAAATTTCTGATCAGATAGTACTGAAACGGTGTTATTAGTCATAATTTGCATTGTTTTCTGATAATTTACGACTAATTTAGGGGAAGATAGAACGCGAAGACAAGGAAAGGAAAGATCGTGAAAAGAAAGAGCGAGACGACAGAGAACGACGAAATGAAAGGGATCGAGAACGAGAAAGGGATCGTGACAGGGAGAGAGATAGGGATAAAGATCGGGATCGAAGACGGGACGATAGGGATCGCGGGTAATAATATATTTATTATCAATTTTTGACACCAATCTTTCCTTCAAAAAGGTCAAGAAGATTTTTCAGTTTCCCATTAAATTATATGCACCTTCTTTTTAAAAGACAGTATGCTTGATATGATCTTTCTTTGCAAGATCTAAAACAGCGAAATGTGGCGAAATCATTTATGTTAAAGATTCTTGACGTAAAAAGCGATGAAAAAATTTCTGATATTTGTTATAAAAAGAGTATATGAACAAAATAGCTATTATCAGTATAGATATATACTAATAATAGCTATTTTGTTCATATACCAATACCGATTACAGGCATCGGCACCGTTCTCCACGTTCACGGCGAGATGATGATAGACGCTACGATCGCCATTCTGATAGACATCGAGACAGAAGAGACGATCGGGATCGGCACAGAGTAATCTTTTATTAATTTTTATATTTTAATGCATATCAGATCTTCATTCGGTATTCTGAATGTTAAATTTAACGCCTGTACTTTATAGTTGACATATCGAAATAAAGTTATTTTGGTATATTATACTAGAATTTTGTGCTGCTTACAAGTTTGCGAGTCCCAATTGTTTCGAATCATACCGGTATTTCGACAAGAGTTTAAACTAAGCAGTGAACTTTGAGAAGTCTAATCATAATTGTACTGGTATTGGTAGAAAAAATTACAACACCTAAATTATTGGAAAAAGGCAATTGCGCCGAGTATCTAAGCTGTTGTAATATTTATCCTGACGTTCAGGTGGTTAGAAAGTTTCAAAGCTAAAACATTTTCAGCGATGAAAATGGACGCGTATATTTGAGTTGACAAGGATAAAACGATGGAACAGTGCCACCATTTCTCTTTGGTATTTGAAATGCTTATTTCGCTTTTTTGCTGACATATAGTTGTACGTGTATTAATGTTTTATAATTGCTGTAATAACATCGTTGATGTCTAGCCGAATGTCTTGTTTGTTCTTGTCTGATTTGAACGATCGTTTCTTATTTTTCCGTATTATTTTCTAATTACCGAAGCTGTTAAATATGTTTGTTATTTTTTTTCTTTTAACAAAATGAAAATATTTTTATTATTTATGCTAAAATATGAACTTATGTTATTTTTTGCTGTAAATTTGAAAACAATAAAAGATCGTTTTCTATAATTCAGAAAAGTATGTAGGGAAGTATGCGTAGATTGAGAGTAGTATTCATATCTTTAAAGTTCTTTTTTATTAAATAATGTATGAAACAAATCTGGAGAATTTGGCGAATTTCTCTAATTCAACCCAACTTTCTCTATGCTTTACACTCTTTTGGTAATGAATTACTTATCTGTTTTTGGCTATATTGAAATGTCAAGTGAGATTTGTCTTAACTTATAAATTATCCCTCATGAAATTGATGTGCAGATTTTTTTTTGTTATTTGAATCAGGTAGTGGCTTGTATGATGTTTGCATGCGGAAAAGCGATTGCTTCATTCGTGGTTTTTGTCGGATTCAAATGATACATAAATGTTTTTTTTTGAAAGTAATTGTGTTGCAGGATGAACACCGGTTTAATTTAACCAGTCGAAGTCCTTTTCCCAAAGGGAATTTGTCATCAGCTCATTCATTTGAGGGCGAAATCATTTATTTAGGAGTGGGAGGGAATTTTCTAGAATTTTTTTTGATTAAATTTCCTCACAAAGTTGGGTTTTCTAATTATTGGGGGTAAGTTCAGCAGTTCTCATCCTTCAGCAGACTGCATGCATTACTGTATGCGAATATTAGAAAAAGCATCTGAAATTTGTTATAAAGATTGAAAGGTCAAAGAATTTGAGAGAACGAAATTATGGTGTTTTTATCAAAACAAAAGTCTTCTGTTATTGATTGAATTGATGTGCAGTTATTTTCGATGGAAAAATTTTTTGAACAAAGTTTTGTTAATATTGTAGAGATTTAACCTTTTCAGCACTATTGCCAATTTAGTGCATACTTGTTATCATTGTTTGTCGTTTCTGTATTGTGAATGCAATCAAATTTCGGCATATATTTGAATTATTGGCAGTCAATGCATTATTTACTCCACTGATTGTTTGATTTCATCATTTCTTAAATTTCAACTAAATGTTTTAAAATTGCTGTTGTATTCAATAGTTGTGAATAGTGCTGTAATTACAGCATTTGTGGAATACGGTGACAATGAATTTATATTTTTGAAATAGACAATCTAATATTTCTGAAGTTGGAAGTCATCGCCTTATTTTTAATAAATTTTTATTAAAATAATGACGGAATCAGACGACGTATTTGTGGAGTCGTCGCAGATCGAAGAAACACCGCAGAGTGACCATGTTAGTTGATTGCATAATTTTTCTATTTATCAAACTTTTTAAATAGTCGGAGAGGCGCGTACTGTTATAGTAATTCCTGATGGAGTTAAAAAATGTTTCATATATTGTATGAGATAATTTTATTTTGAAGGTGCGAATATTGGTTGCTACTGATTTGCATATAGGATTTGCGGAGAAAATTTTGGGTCGTGATGAGGATTCGATAAGAACGTTTGAAGAAGTTTTACAAATTGCTAACAGAGAAGAAGTTGATTTCGTCTTGCTGGGTATCTTTGTTCTTTTTTTAATCGGTTTTGATCTAAAAACATTTATATACAGGATAAAATCCTTATTATTAAGACTAAATTGCAAAATCTAGCTTATAAATAATCTTACTATGGTGAGCAACAACCAAATAACGCTGAAGCATGGTAAAAATTCCAACCAGCATATTGGTTTGAGATTGTTAAAGCCAGATGTTTAAATTCACTTATATCTAAACGAGAAAAGGTTAAATTTATCTGGAACGAAATCAGTTTAAGGCGGTGACTTATATCACGAAAATAATCCATCTCGTGAAATGCAGCACCGCGTGACACGATTACTTCGTCGTTACTGCCTGAACGATCGTCCTGTGGCTCTTCGCTTTCTAAGTGATCCTGCCGTAAATTTTGCACACAGTGCTTTCGGCAATGTAAATTACGAGGTAGTATTTTTTTCAATTATATTCATTTAAGAAGTTTTTATATTGTATAGTATTGGACTGTTGAAATGATTGTAAAATTAACTTTGTCAGTACTGTTCTTGAATATAATAAGACAATATGACTGTATTAAGTGAAAATCGTCATTTTGTTATATTTAAATAATTATATATACCAAACTATAATATTGAGAGAGTAGGTTTGTAAGAATAATGTAGTATTTTAATGAAATATGAAATTGCTTCACTTTTCTATACTTGGTTTAAATGCGTGCATTTTTGTTCATGGAATTATTTTTCATGTTTAGGATAGAAACATTAACGTTGGTTTACCGATATTCACAATACATGGAAATCACGATGATCTTACTGGAAAGGTTAGAATTTAGTTTGGTAATGTAATTTATCATACTGTAGCATATTGAGCAGACATATCGAGAATCAAATTACTGTTTCGGAGCACTCGATTCGCTAACATATGATGCATTGAACTCACATGTCGCAAACTGTAGGTTGTTATTAATATTACTCACAATATGAGATATTTAGATACGCTTCTCTGGTGGTTCATATTAATTCCAATGTACTTTTAATATGTGAAAATTTGAAGGGTTTAACAGCGTTAGACGTGTTACACGAATCAGGCCTCCTCAACTTGTTTGGTAAATTTGAAGAAATTGATCAATTTGTTGTTTCACCGCTACTTTTGATGAAAGGAAAAACGAAATTAGCACTGTATGGCATTGGCAGTCAAAGGGATGATCGCTTGTGTAGAGCATTTCGAGGTTCGATTTAAAACCTTAAACTGATGTTAGTTGGAAATTTCTTCATAAGATGGATCTATCTGGTCATTTTAATTACCAAGTAGTTATTTGACTTATGAAGACATAAATTCACTTTATGCTTTGTATCTAGAACTCTCTATAAATGTTAAACAATTTTTTAGAAGAGAAAATTCGATTTTTACGCCCCAAAGAAGATACGGAGTCATGGTTCAATATATTGGTTTTACATCAAAATCGACCGATGCGAACACGTGAACGATCAACTGGGGGACACCTGCCCGAAAATCTTATTCCATCATTTTTTGATCTCATTATTTGGGGGCACGAGCATGAGTGTAAAATTGGTAAGTTATTTGAATTCTTCCAGTCACAGATTCCGAAGTATTTGTAAGGGTGATCATTTTTACATAATCACTGAATGACTACAGACATAAACTTCGTAGAACTATAGTTTTATTTTTGGCGTAAATTCAATATTGACTCAAAATATTAAATTTCTTCATCCCATTTATTTAGTCTTTCAGAAGCTCTTAATTTCTGAAAATTAGGATATAAGTTATTTCAAATCATTACATCGATTACAATATGTAAAATGTGATGATTGTTTGCAGATCCGCAGTATTACGAGAATGGTGTTAATGTTTGCGGTGATGGTAAGAATTAATAACTTTGTTGAAATTTTAACTTTTATTTAGCTTCAAATCGCATTTTTTCGAAAGTCTCGTTCATTATTTTTCGTGTTACGATTACCACAAATGTTCCAGGTTTCTATATAATACAGCCGGGTAGTACCGTAGCTACTGCGCTTTCATCAGAAGAAGCTAAACCAAAGCATATTGCTCTTGTAACAGTTAGTGGGCGCAAGTTCTTTTCTCAAAAAATAGCTCTGGAAACACCTCGGCAAATGCTTTTTGCTGATTTAGGAATCACTATTAATCCACCTTCCACTGCTTCAAAGAATAGCCGACCAAAAAACATGCCCGTTTGTTGCTTTTTTTGTTTCGTGACTATATAGTTTGAAAAGCATTTCCTTTTACTTTTATTTTTTTTCAACAGTCTTTATGTTTTTTATGCTATCGAAATTTTGAAGGATGAAAAATTAATAGCAGCAGAAGTTGAGAAAATGTTGACAGAAGCTGAAAAAGTAAGAACGACAAGGCAAGCGTATCCTCCGTTATTGCGCCTTCGAGTAACCTATCCTGAATCATGGGCTAATATTATGGTAAGCTGCTTCGATGACACTGCTGATATAATTATTATAAACACTGATTATTGTAGGTGTCAGCTTGTTTGCCGAAGAATTGTATGTTTCTTTGCGAAATGAATTACTACTTTAGAGATTAAATTGTCGACAGTTTGGTGCTACATATGCAAAACGGATAGCAAATCCATCTGATATGATAACCGTTAAAGTAATAAAATCAAAAAAAGAAGGAAAGAAAAGAGAAGGAGATTTCAAGACTGTGACAAATATAGAAAGAGCAGCAACGGTTGAAGAAATTGTAAGATTTTTCTTTAAAAAAGTATTTGCGATAGAGAAAAATTGGCCAGTAGAAAACTCCGCTTTTAACGGAGACTGATGACCTATCAAACGTTTATTAGTCTTTTTGATCTGAATTGCATGCTACTAATGATTAAATGATTCTATCATTTAAGTTTTTTTAGGACTGGATTAAAAATGTAATTATACTAACTTCAAAGATACAATGTAATTACAGTTACATATTACTATCACAAGTCCGCTTCTTATTTTTTATATTATACTTATGGTAGCTCTATAGTTGTCTGTTTTGTATGATTATTTGAAATATTTACAAAGATTTTGAAGTGGAAATATTTTGTCAAATTTTTCTGAAATTTTATGTCTATTCCAGGTTAACACTCATTTTGCTGCACAGGATAACGATACACTTATGGTGCTCGATACGGAAACATTGAACGATGTTGTAAAATTTCAAGTTGAACAGGAAGATGGAAAACGAGTTAAAAACAAGCCACTTATTGAAAATTTAAATGTTAAAAAGAAGAAATTGATTGATGCTCTTTGCAAAGTTTCATACGACGATTTTCTCTCCTTCGATAAAATTGTGAGTATTAACATATAATTTATTACCTTTATTTAGTTTGTAGACATAAAGATTTTCAAAGTAGGCGTATATGCAGAGATTAACATTTCTGAAGTGAATAAAAAGTTCTTATTTGCATGGAGGCCATTTCTCTTTTCTATTACTGCTAATCACTTTTTTGCAGCCAAGCTATCAATTTCTGGAGCAGTTCGAAGATTTAATAAATTCGGATATCAAAAAGGTCCGGAGTATTAATATTCAAGGACTGAAAAGCACTGAGTGAATAATGTACTTGTTACTTTGTTCAGTAATAGTTAATGCCCAGTTTACATGTAATGAATGTTTGAAATAAATTTTGTGGTTTATATCCGGAAATTTTCAAATACTGCAGTGTTTTCCGTTTATCACATATTCCGTGAATGTTTTCTTGAATTCTCTGTAAATTCGTATGAATTTCAATTTTTATACTATTTTTTAAACAAAATGAGAGATATTTTGTGAAAGAAAAACTGTATCTGGGCAGTGAAAAAAGCTCTTTCATCCATTAAAACTATTACTGCCTAAAAATTGAAACATTGAGAAGAAGTGGTAAAGAGTGATAAAAGCAATACATTTATCAACTATTACAGTAAAATATACATTCATCTGAAATATTAGAATTGGTATATTATTCAATGGAAAATTTTGGAGCATTGCTAAATTGAGGTTTTTCAAGCCAGAACAGATTTCATAAATGATCTTTTTTTCCTACTTTTTAAATAAATTGCATTGCAGAAAAGCCGATGCATATAGGGAACGGGAATTATCGTCAAAGTGTTATTGTCGATTTGCAAGAACAAATTGATTCGATTGCTCCCAATAAATATTTCACGCAGGTTGCAGCTGCTGGCAGTAAAGGATGTCCGTCGTCTTTTAAATTTAATTTTGATTTTATCATATAAATATTTGATGAAATGTAATACTAAAATATCAGAGGAAGTGTTTTAGATGTTTATGATGTTTCAGTGTTGAAAATTTTTGCAATCGAAGAGAATGGATTCAGTTTTGTTGCTGATTTTCGTTCAGTACGCAGTCGGCGATTGAATTTAATGTATTCAGCAAGCCATGTATCGTGGAGTCATATAATCGGTCTACCTTTTAACAATCATTCTCTTGATGTATTTTTTGACTTAGTTATAAAGTATAGTAAAAGGTGACACTGTTTTAATGTCACCTTCTGGGCTAATTTCAACAGACACAGTGAATATCATATGTCTATACTTTCCAATCTTGATAATTGAATTAATTCAAGATTAAATTCTCTTTTTAGAGGTTTTTTTTTTCTAGATAATATCATAGCTACAACATCAACGAATGGAGCTGTGGTCTTGTGGAATGTCGATAAAGCGGCCTTGCGTATTATTTTTTCCAGTATTTTTAGATTTAATAAGCGAAATAATGTGAAAAGTAATCAGTTTAAGAGTATGCAAAGAAATTTTAAAAAATAACTATTGGAAAATAGTTTAGATGCTTTTTGTATAAGTGCAGTAATGAATTGTTTTGCAGACCGTACCTACAAAGCACATACTCGTTCAGCGACCAAAGTATGCTTTCATCATACTGATCGCAATACATTGATTAGTGGAGCCAAAGATGCAGCAGTGATTCAGTACGATTTTCGAATGCCGGAACCGGTCAAAAAATTTATGTAAGTTGTTGTACTGCTAGTCTCTAGCAGCAATGTAAAAATTTATGTAAGTTGTTGTACTGCTAGTCTCTTGCAGCAATGTTTTTACATTGCTGCTATAAAAACACTTTTCTCATGGTGGCTTATTCAGTTTTCAAAGATTTAGCAGACCATTTATGTTTTCTGTCTACTACGCAAATTATTTTAAATCAAATTTTATTTATTAATTTACTTTAAGGAGTGGTTCATGTGACCCTATCCGTGATATGCAATTCGGTATTCATCCTAGTCACTATGACATATTTGTAGCTGCAGATGATGGTGGCTCTGTGCGTTTCTGGGATTTACGTAAAAATGATCGACCATTACATCAATTTGTAGCGCATCATGGTCCATTTAGTGTTGCACTAAATCCAAATTACGACGATCAGAACTTGATTGCTACCGCTGGCAGAGATAAATTTATAAGAGTATGATTTTCTCTCTGGAAAGAGTAATTTATTTTATAATTAATTTGGTGTAAACACATTTGTATCTGTTGATAAATATATTTCAAGAATTATTGATAAAATTGAAGATCTGGAAATGGTTTGATCGTTCCGAAAGTCAATTAAATTCATCAATGTATTCGGTGGAAGCTACAGCATCTGTTTCCCGAGTTTACTGGAGGCCAATGTACAAATACCAGGTAGCTTGAGGATATTTGAATGTTTTTATTGATGTTGATGAATATAAAATTAGTTCAACTTTTTAGTGGGGTAATTAATAGTATTAATTTGTTTATGTCTAGTCACAATATTGTTTTTAGGTAGCTAGCTGTTCAGTGGTAAGCGATATAAATATACACGTTTGGGATATACGAAGACCATTTTTACCTTTTGCAAGTTTCGATGAACATCGTGATATATGCTCTGGTAGGTTTAAAATTGTCCATTACTAATTGCACTGTCTGCATTCACACCTTATAAATAAACAGTCCAAATATATAATTTTCCAGATCTGGCTTGGAAAGAAGATGATTCAGAAATATTTCTATCGGCCGGCAAAGATGGATTATTGGTAATGCATTTTGTAGAAAATGCTCATCATCCAATGAACCACGTAAGTGATGTCGCAGTTGACATATCACCTGCTGGTACCATAGCTGTTGCAGGTAATGACACTCTTTGTATGCATCAAATATACACGCATCTTTTATCACAAATATAATTTAAAAAAGATACATTTTGAATTCAAATCTACAATGGTGCTTTTGAGACAAGTTGCAGTTAAACTTTCTTAGATATAAAATGAGCTTCATTTTTAGAAGCAAGAAATAACGAAAGCAAGAATTAAAAAATGTTTCTGTTACGGTGAGTTAAAACTCAGTAGATCCAACCAGATAGTTACTTTTTTAAGCCATAATTTTTCATACTAGGTTTTAAAACTTAACTTTTTGAAAATTAGAAATTTAGATAACAAAAGAAGTTACAGTATTGAGAAATTTCCAATAAATACTTTTATAATATTCCAGTAAGCAGTCAGTTGAGTTTGAAGAATGAATCATTGATTGAACAAAGGAAAGCGCGCAAAGGTGAAGCATTTGCACCGAGGAGACGGAAGTATGATCCTTTCCAGTCGAGCATTCCCAGTTATTTGATTTGCTGTGAACCAACTGAAACAAATGTTCAACTTTCACCACAACACTTTATTACTTTAGCTAGAAGGTTGTTGGGTTTTACAGTTAGATTTTTTTCTATGCATATTAATTTTTTAGTATTTTTTTATCATTTTCCTTCTGGTTGTTCTTTCTAAGCAGTTTAAAGTTTCATATTATTGCAACCGATGATTACATTCGGTATATCTTATAATATCCCTTCGCTTTCAAATACAGAATTTTCAACTTTGCGTCAATGCCATTGCTGTACAATAATTGTATTGTCCGTTTATTTAGATACAAACTGTATGGTGAAGACGCTTCATCATTATGTTTTCATAATAGCCGTGTAGCTGAAAATATAAAGAAATATGATATTGCTCATACATGGCGTATTGTCGGTTTTATTTGTTCATTTACCTCATTTTTTGAAAAAGCATCAAGCGAGGAAGCTTCTCCTGGTAGCCATGAAAATACAAATAGTAAGTGTTGATAAAATGTTAGAGAATGTTTTTTTGCATATGAGCTGCTTTATTTATTAAATCTATTTTTTCTTTTTTCTTCGGAAATTCAAAATATTTTTTGGCAGATCATTAATTGAATGTCATGATTCAAAATTTCAAAAAAGTAATAAACGAGAGGAATCCATAGCTATTAGACTAAATAAGTTTTGTTGAGCTAAAGATAACGGTGCTAGTGCAAGCGATGCAGCAGTGCGATCTCGCTTTCCCTCAAGTTTGTCATCTGGCGGAATGATGCGAAACGTGGATGGCCAAGATGTTACGGAATCGATATTTTCCGGCGTAGTTCCACAAATAGCTTTTACTTCAGCAGATTTCTTTTTTGGTGATAACGAACTGAACCTTAATGGACTGAATATAGATTCTTCAGAATTCACGCTTCCATAGTTAGTAATTAAAGTTTCAAAAAATTCCTTTGAATTTTTCATTTTTTTCAAAGTTGACTCAGTTGTAATGTAATGTAGTTACATGATCGAAGCATCCTGTGATTTCATTAAGAAAACAAGACTCTTGCAAGTGTTATTAGTCGTATGGCTAGTTTTACTAGCACTAATTCGAAATGCTTCTTTTGCAGTGATTTTAAAGCTCCAACAAATTTGAAGATGGAAGCTTTTACACCTCGACCGTATGAAGAATTTGAAGCTGGTGAAACAAGTTGCTCTCTGAGTTCCGAGGAGCATCTTGATGACAGAATGCCAAATCATACAAGCGAACTGAAACGATGTCAGATTGGTAGCTTTTATTTGCCCGATACCTTTCTTCACAGGAGGATTAATTATGAAATAATGCAAGAAGCTAATGTGATGAATTCTATTGATTTAAGATTTAGTAACATACATCGTCCTTTATTATAGCAACGAATAGTACTGATACGATTTCCAGATATCATAAAATACCCTACAATTAAGTTCGAAAAATTTTAGTACTTTCTCTTTTTTTAAGGAAATCTGAGAATCAGAACTGAACTTGCCTGTACCCCATCGTGGGATCCACTTCCTTTGTTATGTTCTATGTTCAATTTTTACTCTGATTTGGTAAGCTTTTAATTATATTTCATTGAAAATTTGGTTTAAGGTCCTCAGTAGTAGCTGAGTGAACTAATTTTATTTGGCTGATATGTAATAGTTGTGTGCTTAGACATGCCAAGTTTTTAACTCTATCGAAATTAAAACCTAGCAGTTTGATTTTTACATTTCATACGGTGAAATTCATCTAATTTGAAGTTAATGTGTTATAGGAACTTCAGCATATCTTCTTAATCGGTTTGAATATATTAGGCAATTTTAATATTTTATAATAACTGTACATAATTATAAAATAGAAGTTGTACATCGCACAATTGATACGACAAACTGTATATGGAATGGGAAAAAATTCATTAAGAAGATATTACAACAAATGTTTTATAGGGTGACGTACAAACATGTGTATCTGTACTACTAATACTGGGAGAAAAATCGAAAGAATTCATCGATTTAGGTACTCAAAAGCTGTGGTTCCTGGATTATATTGGTAATTATTGTATTTTATATCTTAATTTTTCTATGATTATTGAGTTACATACATCTTTCACACATATATTGCTGTTTAAAATACCTTACTAATTTCATAATACTATGTTATATTGATATAAATCCAGAAACTCCTTTCGATTAGTGAGTGATAAATTCAGCACATTGAAAATTAGTTCCTTGATTGTATATGAGAGAAATAAGAGTGTATAAATAATGATGGCTATAAAAACACATTTGTTGTTTCTACTATTTGTTAAAAACTAAAAAAAATGATAATTGGATTTGAAATTATCATATTTTTCTGATTGCGTAATGTGAAAATTTGATAATTTTCTTCCAATTAAATTTAATAACTGCTAAGGGATTTGGTAAAATATGCTGTATAGATATGCTTGAATGTTACGAATTATGGAATACAGCCGCTGAAGTAATCAAATTATGTTGGATTGCAGCTGTTAATAGTCTAAGCAATGAGGTATTTATTTGTTTCAAGTATTCAGCTTCCAGCTTATTTGCTTGGCATTATCGAAGTTGATTATTTGTTTTATAATCCTTTATTGAAGAGTTATTTTTCTTATTTAGAGGAGGTTGTTAAAGTCGAACCACTTATCTAACTTTGATCTTGACTTAACAATTTTTATAATGAATTCATGCAGATTTTAATAATGCTAGCAATTTGCAGTTGTCATATTTTAGAGTACTTCGATTAAACTATTGTGTACCAAATGCAAGACAGTATCTGTGACATCATCACCCTACTGCAAGAAATGTCTGAAGAAGTTTAATTTTAACTGTTCCCTTTGGTACTATTTTTTGATTCCTTTGTTTTTCAACAATATAATTTAAATTGATACCATTGAATTCCAATAAAGATATAAAGTGAGTCAGTTAATGCGATTGAAGTTATAAATCCTCCTCCAATAATGACATATTTCAGTTCTTTGCCAGTTCACGGTATTTGGAGTTGGTGTCGTGGTTGTACACACGGTGGTCATCCTCAGCATTATGCGGAATGGTTTGCTTTAAACAAAAAATGTCCAACTGGATGTGGTCATTCTTGTGTTCAATAACCCACGGCGACTATTTAATATGTTGTAATTTAAGGGAAATTTGGTACCTAATCAGTTTTAGTATTACATGATGACTGGATTATGATATTGTTTTATTCTGACATACACGTGATGAAGCAATCTAGGATAAGGCACTAACTTCATGTTTTAGTGATGAATGCATTCCTGATTGTTTGTGACCATAATAAGAAAGATTTCTGCCTCTATTTACGTATGTTAGACCTAACTCAGACTAATATGAAGTTTAATTTTGCAAACGATATTATTCGTAATGCCTGTCATACTGCAATGGATAGATTAGATTCTACGTTTCTATTTCTTATTGTACAGTTGACTGAATGCTCAAAATATAATCGATAATACTTGTTAAATATTGGTGTGCATTTCCATTATTACAATGAGTGAATTGATAAAATGAAAATTAAATTTAATAATGCATATTCTTGTATTTTTTGAATTTTACACATTTTTTTGCATAATGTAATAATTTGGAGAAAATTTCTGAAGAAAAATAAAACGTTGCTGATAAATAATTCGAAGTTGTGCCGAAAATATTATTGCGTCATTGGATTGTTCAGTGCAATACATTTCCAGCGGTGACAGTCATATGAATTATTTTGTTGAAAAAATTATTCTATTGAAACTTCTAAAAGTTTAATATAAATTTCTTAGGAGATAGATGTTAGAAGCGGTGGATGCTATAAAGCAAATCCTGAAATGTGTCACATCAATCAAATTCCAACAAATTTCCGGATATTTTGCTTACGAAATAATATTTTCCGTATGCGGATAATACGAAGAAGGCCAAAATTATGTGATGTGTTACTGCTATGTGGCGGTTTGTTGACTAAACCGATTATACAAAGGACTTTTTGTAAAGATCATTTGGTAAGATTTCATCTTTGGAATTTATTGGTAGTTATTTCAATGTACTCGAAAAGTATCTTCACAAATAAACTCCTCTGATAATTTTTCTTTCCTGATAATAAAAGCATAATTTCATATATCGTCGAAAAAGGTTCATTTAAATCCTTACTACTCTCATTTTTTAAATTCTTTAATTCATTTAATCACTTATTCATGTAAAGTTATCATAAATTGAATCTGTTAATTTATTTGTTAAAAACTAATCTAGATCTTTAGTAACGGACTCAATGTTAGATAACTTTACATAAATACGAATTAATATGTAGTGTTATACTAGCAATAGCAACTATTTAAATTAATTTATGAGATTTACAAATACAGATGAAGGTGGTGAGGGAGGAGAATCCATGGTTGGTTACTTCATCGCGTATTGAGACAGCATCGCACGATAATAGTTATATTAATATCCGTGTGATCGTATATTTGTATAGGACAGCTCTGCGATCAATCAAAATAATGCTAAGGTTTTGCTTATATTTTGTTGTAAAAACAAAAATTCATCATCGATTGTGGGTGTATTACTATTTATCTTTATTTCGTTTTCATATAACTTAGCTTATCGTAGTGAACGGTTGAATTGCAGTTAGATCAGAAGGCATCTTTTCAGGATAGTATCATTATCATTGTTCTTCACTCCGTTGTTGATCACTTTTCCATTTGCCTGTTTTTGGAGTAGTTTTGAAGAATTGTGGTGGAAATGGATGTTGTGGATGGTGCAGCGAAGTGGTCCGACCTTTATCAAATTAGGTCAGTGGGCAAGTACAAGGCGCGATATTTTCGCGAAGGATTTTTGTGATAGAGTAAGTTATTATGTTAAATGCTTCATATTCTAGGAGAAAATGGACTATATCGTAACACATATTTTAATTTTTGGAATAAATCTCAATATTACTAATGTCTACTTTATTTGCTGTAAAATATAACAATATTTTTATATGAAGATGTCAATTTTGCATACAAAAACAACATACCGTCCATGGCATTTTTCGCAACATGCACTCGATCATTTATTTGGTGATTCGCGATGGAAAGATTTTGTTGTGTCAATAGAAACTGATCCTATTGGTTCCGGATGTATTGCTGAGGTACGGCAACAATTAAACATGCATTTGTAACAAGAAAGAATGAAATATAAAAAACATTACATGATTGGGAGTAAGGGAAAGGAAAAAATGAAAAGTAGTTATGAAAGTCTGTAAGTTTCGAAATCAGCTGTGTTTAGAACTATTTTATTCTGCTTGCTGGACCATAGTTTTATTGTTTTTGAAGCTAGGGATATTTAACCACATTATAGACTGTCGGTTTTATCAGTGCATTACTGATACGAGACATATTCGAGGGAGCTGGACGAGAAAATTGTGCACTGTACTAGCACTTACTAGTACCTCCCTTAGCATGTTTTTGATTACGATGGAAATGGTACGGGATTCAATAGTTGTATCGACTCTAGAATCTCTTTTTTTTCAGGTTTATAAAGGTATTCTTGATGTGCATGCTTACGAGAAGATCACGGGGATTCATTTACCATTTGCAAAGAATCGATATATTGATATCGCGATTAAAGTAAATATTCTAATTCTTCTTGAAAAAAAGTTTCATTAATAGATAGATACATTATTCATTTTTGTGGTGATTTTAATTAGACTGCAAAAGATGGAGTCCGTGAGAGCATTGATATTGATTTGTCAATAATGCAATGTGCTGTTTGCTTGATGGAAATGATCATGCCTCGATTATCATACATAAATCCAGTGTCTTGTTTAAATCAGTTCAAAGAAGTACTTCAGCTACAAGTGGATTTAAGAAACGAAGCAAGAGCTCTAAAAGCAAGTTTTTTTTTCCTTTCATTAATACTTATCAATATAGAAACATTTTTTGATTTTTTGTTAAGTACGAAACTGTCTTCTTAAATATATACTGTTAGTATGGAGCCTCCATTTCTCAAGAAACGATTTCTTTGAGAATGCAGCAGCTCGTTTATAATTCAGCTATACTTTGCTTCTTTAAAGTCCTTCTTTCTTATTCTGTGAGAGAGAAACTGCTTCAAAATCTTGTTTAATTGCAGAGATTTGGTGAAAACTTTGATCCTGACAAAACAAAAGTACGGTTTCCTGGAGTCGTCTGTTATTCTAAAGATGTCATCATCGAAACATTTGAAAATGGACTATACATCAACAGATTAGTTACCGACGAACAGTTGGTAGTACATCGTACTTATTGACAACCTGTTTTTTTGACATTTCAGAAATATAGCCTCGTAATATGAACAGTACTTTTGTCGATTATAAGCCTCTGTAAGCCACTTTAAAAAAATTGTTATCATTTATAGATGGAGCAAAATGTATTGAAGAAGAAGGTTGCGCTCATTGGAGTAAGAGCATTGTTGAAAATGATTTTTATAGATAATTTTGTACACGGCGACCTTCATCCTGGCAACATACTTTTAAGGTTTATTTTTACACACTTGCTTCAAACAAAATGAAAAGATTATGGATGTAAAATAAGCATATTTCGGCTTTTTGCAGAATTTACATCTTTAAAGTTGTTTAGGCTTGATAATCCTGATCATCGGACGACCAAATGGTTTAATTCTTTTCGAACTTCAGTTAATAGATTGGTTAGTTGACACATTGCCCTTCTAGATCCATTTTTTGTATTTGTGGAGCAGGGTAACTGTTTATTAGAATCTCTTGTATTCTACTCCATATTTATTTGTTTTCATGCTTCAAAATTATCCGATGTCAACGTTTACAGTATTTTCATACATACCGTTTTTATATCTACCTTTTGTTTGATTGCCAAGTTATTTGCTTCACTGCTAAATACATTATTTAAATACATTGTTTATAATTACAGTTACAGTAGATAATTCAAATACGTTTATGTTTTCAGAAAAAAATACTAAAAAATTTTGTTACTATGAGCGATGGTATCCGGATCTCATATGATGACTATGGTCTCGATGAATCTGGAGAACCTACACTAATCATATTGGATACAGGAATTGCCCTCGAGGAAACACCACAGAATCTGCAAAAACTTCGTCTTCTTTTTCGAGCAGTTGTCGATAAACGAGTTAGTAAATCTAATATTTCTGTGAACACATTTGATATTATGGAAAACATAGGTAAAGTACTAATAATGTAGGTTAATTTTGTTAGATAAATTGTTTTCAAACGTTGAAGACAATCATTCCGTTATAGTGACGCTTTAAAGCTTTCCGAACAACTAGTATCGTACATGAATCTGTTTAGAAATGAAATATCAGATGATTGTTCAATCCAAAGTGAAAGCAAAATGCTGAAGTTTTATTTGACGTTATTAGATCTCGAAACGAAAAATATTGGTGTATTCGAGCTGGAATAATTTAAGGTGAAAGATTATGAATTGCAGGGTCGTGATGTTGGTGCATTATTACTCTTACATTCGCCAAAGCAGCACTGCAAAGATCCAGAACGATTTTGTGACGAAGTGGATCAGATCGTTCAAACCGCACGCTCCAAAAGCAATTTGAGAAGGGTATGTTGTTATTAAATTAAATCTGCCATGAACATGCAGCTTGTTTACAAATCACGGATGCAAAGCAAATGTGATCATAGATGCATAAATGGGAACGATCGTGATTGGGTTTCTGAGCAATGTCTGCTATAGAAGTCAAATTATTATGTTTGACTATGCAAAGGTCACGCTGCAGATTGCTTAGATCAATCTGATATCTTACGGTTAATGAGCAGCTATGTTTTCTGACATATTTGTTTGCACCGTTCATTTTATGATGAGGTTTCCGAATTTAGCTAGAATGTGATGAGATATTTTTGCTATTTATTTGCAACCGTTTGTTTTAATGAATTATGCAAAGCAAACATTTTAAGGTGTATGTTAATAAATAAATAAAATAATACCTTTTAGAAAAATTTGTAACTTTGTTTGCGATAAAATAATCCTTGAATTTTCTTAAAGAAAATAAATTTTATTAGACGTGATTTATAGCTGAATATATCGGAAATGTTAAACGAACTATTTTCAATCGTAAGTCGTCATGAAGTTGCACTGGATCCATCATTTACGACAGTTGTGCTAGCAGTTATAGTTTTGGAAGGTTTGGGACGTTCGTTAGACCCCGACTTGGATCTTTTCCATTGCGCCAGACCGTTCCTTTTTTCCATGCTTTGATTTGAAAATATTATTTAAAAATGTAGTTATGGTTTTTATCTATCATATTTTTTTCTTTTTAACAAAAAAGTTTTAACTTACGGAAGTATTAAAACTATATGACGCTGTGAATCAATGATTAAAAGTGTGACTGTACATAAGTAGATTGAGTGTTTAAATGGTTCTAATTTTGGTAGGGCCTTTCAAAAAATTGTTGCGCATCATCTTTTGTAAAAGAAAAAAAGTTGATTATTTGTTTATTTTCATGATGACTTATAATATTTTTTTTTAATTATTCAGAATTAATTCTTATTGTTTGTTTATTTTATAGTGTTGTGTTCTGGTCAGTATTTTTAATGAATTGTTACAAATGATTTGATTGCAATTATTTTCTTTTGCTTGATGTTTATCAGTTGCATTAGGAAGTTATGATATGGCATAAAAACTATATAAGTTATTTTATTAAAATCATACAGAACTTCGTAGTGATTAAATCATGTATTATAGAATATAGAGATCGAAAGCTGTTTGTAGTCTCCATTCCACAATTAGAAGATTTATTTTGATGTCAAATTGTCGCTTGTCGTATTATTGTAATATTGTATCAGTTGCATTAGACAATTATAATATGGTGCAACAAGTTTTTTTTAATTCGTCAAAATCAGAGTACATTTTATAACGATTAGAATCTCATGTATTGTAGGATATATGCAAGATATAGGAAAGCAAACAAAAACGAAGAAAAAAAAAGTGAAATAAGATTTATATTTCCATAACGAGTCGCCAGCAGTAATAATGCGTTTTAAAACATGCTTCCTTTTTTTCATTAGTTCTTTAAAATTTATGGAAGAAAATTTATAGCATAATGATTGTATGTATTTACGTGTTCGACTACTTTGCATTCTTAAGATCTGTAATCTGATAATTTCTTATCAATTAATGGTGCTACTAATGAGGGATATAATTGGAATGTTAATAATTGGGATTTTTTAAGTCTTCATTTGAATATAGAGGAGGAAAGGTGCATTGTTGAAGTAGTGCATTTCTTATCATTCCTTTATATCAATTTCAGTGACAGTGACATGCCTAATTGTAAATGTAGATCTCGAAGGTACAGCTATGTTCTATTATATTGCTTATACATATATAAATTGTTTTCAAATAGTAGTAATAAAAGTAACTAATTCAATTTTGGAATGTTGTTCATTTTAAAAAGCTGTTTGCTATTACAAACTGTTATCTGTGCTTTTTTAAAATTATTTTTTGCCGATAAAAATTGGCGATTACATAATTATTCTCTTATTTTTGTCAATAATATCGAAAAAGCAATATGTTTTGTTAGTAATATTAGCAATATCTAAATCATAAAATTTCAGCAGTTCTTAGTATATTACATTCTTGCTTCATGTTAGCAGTTATCATTCAACCAAATTTTTATCATCTGTTCAATGTTTCTTTTATTTGATAATATAATTTGGGAATCATTATTTTGCTTACAGCGAAGTAATGTCAACATATTCAGCTCGTGGATCCTCTTTGGCTAATTTTATACGAGCAGTGGAACGTGATGATGTCCTATTATATGTTACTGCAGCCGTTGGTGTTTTCATGCCTGGCTGTGTATATATGTTTTATCAATATGCCCATAAATTATACACTAGATATGTTGAGGTGACATTTTGTTGCATTAACTTAGACATTGATTGTAGGCTTTCTGCTTATTTTAATTAATTGCATATTTTTTACTTTCACACGTAAAAATTTATCCTAAAAATAATAAATTTTACAGAAGCGTGAAATGCGGAAACGAGAGGAACAATTGGAAAGCAAAGTGGTGACGATATTTTATGCTGAGGGACGAGAAAATATTGAAGAACTGGCCCAGCATATTGGTGCACACTTGGAGTACGATGGATTGCCGATAGTTAATTTAGCTGATATTGAAACAACGACTTTCATGAAATACAGGGTGAACCATAGATTTTTTTGTTATACGCCGTATTTCACCATAGTTATTGGATTCCTTTGAAGATAAATTATTGACTTATAAGTAATTCGGCCAATGGAATTGAGAACATATAACTGTTATATTCCAAAAACAATTAGAATATTTTAATTGCAACAGTATAGAGAGATGAGATGATTAAATGTTGTTGGTGTCATAATAGAAAAAAAGTTAGTAATAAATCCTCCAACAATTAAAATTATCCCTTTATTTTGCAGGGTATTGGTTTGTTTCTCATGGACTGCACATATGATGGAAATGAATCGGAGAGCACTGAATGGTTTTTGGATTTTTTAGAAGATTTAGCTTTCGATCAAAAAATGACTAATTTACCATGTCGGCAAATGCATTTTGCTATTCTCGGTATTGGTGATCCACGTAATGGTTACAAACAATATAATCGCGTTAGTCATTCTTTCTGGTTGCAGTTTTGTAGTCTTTTGACATCGTTACGTTAATAACTGTATTTTGGCTGATAATAAGTTGCAGATAACGAGAGCCTTGACAAGGCGACTAAATTCGATCGGGGCTGTTGCTCTTTATCCATCGCGTTATATTTACAGTGATTCGAATGCGGGTAAACAACTTTTTTAGTTATATTTCTTAATGATACAGGAAGTAATGAAATGTAACAAAGATTATGGACTAGGACTTGATTTAGAAAACCTTATAAATATTATTCGTAATTTTTTTTTATTTTTATTATTGCTCTCTTATTATTACTACTGTCATTACTGACATTTATTAATATTAATATTATTCAATACGTAAGATTTACTGAGGCAACAAGATGTTTATTTAATTAGGACTAGAGAAGCAAGCAGCGGCTTGGGCATCTTGCATCGCTAAAGCGCTGGATGAGTACACGACAAGGATTACAAAATCACGAAGCTTTTGGTATTATGATAGCGATAGTGACAGTAATAAAAGTGATGTGGATGACGATGAACAGGAATTTCTTTCCGATCATGTGTAAGCTTTTGACGTATATTTTTTTCATAAATTTCATTACGCCCTGCAATTATTGGTTTAATCCTATCGTCTTCTCATAGTTTTAATATGGTTAAGAAGTTTCATTTATATATTCATGGAATACGATTGATAGAACTGATCTCCCTCTTTCTCTTTCTTCGTTTTTTGTCCCTCATTTTACTCGATATTTGTTACTTGAATTCTTTCAGGGAATATATCTATGAATCAGATGATACTGATGTAGATAATTAGAGAACATCTTCAAAGAAAGGTTCAACATATTCACTGATAAATTTAGGAATGTGAATCAAAGATGTTATTGTTTCGCATACGAAGGATGATATGTTCATGAATGCTTTGAAAATGATAATGTATTTAAGTATATATACACACATAAGCATTTGTTATATTATTGTTTTGTTTGCTCATTATTACTTCATCTTCTCATACGTATAGCCCCAGTATTTTGTGTCATTTTGTTTCATTTTTCAAACTTTTTGATCTCTTGTAAAAGCATATACCCGTTATCCTCTTGTTTTTTTAAGCCAAAGCTTCCCGATCATTCGCTCGCTCTCTGAAAAGTTTATTTTCGTTACATTACCATCTGATACCTCATTCTCAATTATATTCATGCTGCTGGACAAATATAAACAGCATCTCTTCTTCATTCTTCCTCTCTCTTTTGTTACGAAATTGTGAAGAAAAAAAAACGAATATATATTCGTTTTTTTTTTTCTTATTTCTTCACAACTTCGTGGTATATTACCTGTTTCGTCTACCAATGTTTAAGTCGTTTCTTTTCCTCTTATATTTTTTTATATGAGGAATAATTTCCTTTAATCTAGACTAGTTTTGTATAAATTGCGAAAACAGCAACATATTTTTTTGTTTTTTGAAAAGAACATTGAAAGTATCATCAATTATTCGTCGTCACAGGCATGACTAGTGTTAACAAAAATATTAGCTAAGGATATTGTTTGTTAATGAGCATTGTCGGAAGGACAGATACCCATTTCACTTTTCATGCCTAATCTAACAGTAATTGATAAGAATTCATACATCATACACGTATGATAAATTTACTGATAGGTGGAAGTGATTTTGTTCGTCTTGTATACATGATTCTCGAGGAATTGACCATTTCGTTCAAGCCAGCTGAGATATCTCACCGAAGTTCATATTCTGCATATTATTTCCTGACTTAATCATTGCTACCCTGAAATGGCCTGTAAAGAACACATTCATGCACATGCAATACACACCCGTTGGATACCTCTCTTACAGCGGAGACGCAATAGTCTACGTCGCTAGACATGCACGCATATTACAGAAAGAGAATCGTAGAGACAGAGAGAAAGATATGTGGAAGAGAGAGGAAAAGAAAGAGAGAAAGGGAAATGTCGAGAAGTATGGAATGACTGACTGATATGGGTGGATTTGAAGGACATTAGTTACGCACACGCACACATGTACACACAGTGCTGCGATGTTGCTGAAGGTTGGTGGTGCTGCTCAAAAGATTACATCTATTACCGTCGTTGAAACGTGAACGTGAACTTTACTGTTCATTACTTCACGTCATTAAGTGATGGTTAGGATCCGAGCTTCCTATCGTACAGCTTTGTTTATTTGTTTATAATTTACACATTGATCATATTTAAGTTACATTATCAGTGAAACAGTATTTTGCATTGAATATTGCATATGAATATGCTGACATTTTACTTTATTCATATGTTCATTCTTAAAATTATCATAATAGACCATTTCTGAGATGGCCATATAGAGCAGTAGTAAATGCTACGAGTAGCTCATTTTAATCTTCGGTGGCAGCTATTTATTAGGCAGTTGGCCGATTTGTAATATTTTGTGCAATTTTTTTTTTTGTTTGTACTAATCTTTTCCGACGATCATATTTATCATCATTGTATTGCACAACTGTTGAATGTAGTCGGCTGATGGCGTTTGAAAATGACATCAAGAAATTCGATGCGTGATGAAGATGCATTAGGGGCGGATTGCTGACGCATACCGCATTGCGGTCTTCTCACTTGGGACTGGGACATGTTCTATCTCATCGTCAGTTTGACATTTTTTTTGTTCCTTTCTTCCCATCACTTTGATGGTATTTGAGTTTAGTTGAATCGGGAATAGGAGGGATCAGACGGAATCGATAGCGTGCATAGAAATTTTATAATCTTAATCTTCCATGTATTTGTTGAAGAGATTTCATCGAATGGAATTCTCAAGATTATCCAATTTAACTTTCCTTGCTTGTTGCCGCTGCCAAAGAGGTTAAACATTTAAGATGTTACTCATAGGTTATTATTTCGCTCACAACTATTGCTGTCGCACTGTTGAATACCTGCCCTATTTCATTTTTCATATATAAAGATTTCAAATGCAATTATTATTGAAGAATGATTGTGTAACACTAATTGCAGACATTTCGTCAATATATCAGTCTTGTACAAATTCTCTCAATGTATGCATTATTGTTACAATTTATAATGAAATGAAATTATTGTTGTTCCTCTGTTCCAGTCATTATCTGTCCAGGTTAAACAATCTTTAACAGGAAATAACACTCTTCAATTTAAATGGTAATGCTATCGCTTCTCGTATTGTAAATTGCAATTTAACGTTACATAGTTTACTTTGTTCTCCATTCTGCTACTTTTTCCTTTCCTTCCTCTGTTTACTGAATAACTAACGGATGGAAGTAAAAATGATTCGTGACTGTAAACGCTATGGAAATGGACGTTTATGAGAGACAAGTAAACATTGCTTACTGTTTGTGATAATTACGTTTCATTGAATTGTATTTCAGTTTGTGGTTATTAGCGCTTCTTATAAGACTGACAATATCGTTTTTTTTTTCCTCAAAAAGTATTTTGTTTCGGAATTTCTTCTTAAAATTAGTGGCATAACTGAATTTCAAACTTAGGAAGATTAATATATGAAAGGAAATGAAGGAAAATCAGTTCTTAAGTTTGGAATGGTTCGCTACTTTATTATAACCATATTCTAGCCTTAAAATATAAATCTTAATGTGGAGAGAAATGGATAGCAGAAAGCTTGCAGAATATGATTTACATGATAAAAATAAACCACTAAAACCGGTAAAACTATAATATAACAAGGGATAGCTTATCATCTGATTTTTGATCGTTCGATTAAGTGACTGCGATTTTTGACAGGCTGCATAAATTTAAATTCAATGACATGTAATCGGGTATTATCATTATTGATGGCTGGTGTGATTATTGATTTATGTTTCAACATACCTATCGGTGATGATAAGCTTTTTGTAGAACTCCCAGCAACCGGTTAAAAGCTGCGATTCACAAATTACAAATTCTGTTGAGTTCATTCGTAATTAAATTTTTTAATGCTTCATATTTTTTCTTTCTTTTTTAATTGAATGATATATGCTTGAGGGTGACAGTAAGTCACGAATAAGAAGTAATGAGCTTAAAGGCATTTTCGGGTAGTAAAAGGAAAATTGGCTCTTGAGGCGCGTTTTTAACAAGTTAATTATTGGTGTTCGTTAATTTTGCTCCAAACGATTCTCCTACGATTTTCCGTTTTATTTTCTCATTAATTATTAATTGCACCAGAAAAAAATATGTGTAATTTCAGTTTGCTTGGTATATATTTTGTGTTTTTATCCTACCGTTACTTCCCAATTAGCAACGATGTCTTCACTACTACCGATCAAATTTCAAGAACATGTATTGGTAAGTTTATCCACTCTGTTAGGTTTTTTTCCACAGCTCAGTCATTACAGTTTAATAGTGATATAAATAATATCGCATCAATCATTATAAAATAAACATGCAAAACTCCTGCATTATATTTACATTTTTCTTCTTTCGGTTTCTTTTTATGATAAAATTCGTGGTTCACTGGTTCATCATTTCTTGACAACTTGATCAATGATTTCTGCTATATTATGTTTTGAAATGCACAAAATACAGAAATTAACTTTTAAATCTAGTGGTGCAAGAATGTTCCGACATACACTTGTCTAATTATTTAGTTTCAAATGCAATTTTTTTAGTTGCAAAGTTTGGGTATAAATGCAGCAAACATCGGATTTGCAACATTAACGATGGAATCGGATAAATTTATTGTTGTGAGGGAAAAAGTTGGTGAGAATGCTCAAGTTGTCATTGTTGATATGAATGACATCAATAATCCTCTTCGCCGGCCAATCACTGCTGATTCGGTGATCATGAATCCTGCAACGAAAGTTCTAGCTTTAAAATGTTAGTTTTATAATACAGGACTTTCTTGTAGTCTAATCTATGTTAGAAAGGAAGTTTACTCTTTAAACTGCTCTGTTAAAATAACGAAGGATTTGTTCAGCATCTCGCACTCTTCAAATTTTCAACATTGAATTGAAAGCCAAGATGAAAGCATATAATATGTCAGAAGATGTGATCTTTTGGAAATGGATTAATGTCAATACGATTGCATTAGTATCGGAAATTGCTGCATACCATTGGTCACTTCAAGGTTATTCTTTTATTTTTCCTTCCAGATTGCAAGGCCATCTATCATTTGATGCGTTGTACCTTCGCTGGTGGAATAACTGATAAGAACTAAATATTTAGCTAATCACTATGGATCTTCAGAAAAAACTGTGAGATTACTATATATATAAAAGTTTCATTAGTTTGTTTGCAGATTCATTTTGTATATTTTGTAATTCGATTTGCAGGTGATTCGCCTCCTGTAAAAATATTCGAAAGGCATTCAACATTAAGTGGATTCCAGATAATCAATTATCGAGCAGATGCGGAATGTAAGTGGTTGTTGGTGATTGGAATTGCTGCAAAGGTACTATCTTTTTGTTGTTATTTGTGTTATTATTTTGTATGTCATAATTCCTTATCAATGATTCGTATTCTTATCTCAATTTTTGAGGAAATGATGAATGGATATTACTGATTTGTTTAAATTCTGAGTTTTTCTCTATTCTGAGCATTTTACTTTTATTGAAATTTCAAGTATGGTGTAAATTATTATTAAACTGCAGGATAATCGTGTGGTTGGTGCAATGCAATTATATAGTACGGAGAGAAAGGTATCACAACCAATCGAAGGACATGCAGCATGCTTCGTGAGCTTTAAAATTGAAGGGAATCCACATCCTAGCAATTTATTCTGCTTCTCCGTTCGAACCACGCAAGGTGGAAAGGTTGTTGTTTTTTTGTTTGTTTGTTAGATCTTAATGAATAAAATGACTTTGAAAAGTTATACATAAAAATTACTTCTTTCTATGGAAAGAGTTTATAAATAATAAGTCCTCCCGTAGGCACAGCTTTTTCATTTTCTGAGAAAGTTGTTTAGTCAAGGGAGGATAAATTGTATGTGCATTTTATAGTGCACGCTATCAAATTTCTTAATAGTGTGTTTTCCGCCAAGTGCAACATATAGACGTTCCAGTTTCTTGTCAGCAATAGTTGATGTTTGCTTTTGTTACTTAATGTGTATTGGCTTCTCATAGGAGTCTTATAACAGTTGTGATTACATTGCTTTAACTCTTCAGTTCTAAACCGATGCTTTTTCAGCTTCATGTTATCGAGATAGGCAGTCCACCAACTGGTAATCAACCATTCCAAAAAAAGCAGGTAGAAGTGTATTATCCTGCCGAAGCTGCTACTGATTTCCCGGTTGCAATGCAGGTATTTGCTAGATATTTTATAATCTGAAGCAAAGTGGGAAGTATAAGATAGTTTGGAAGGATGAGATTATTGTATATAACTTGCACTATAGAAAAGATGAATTTGTTTTCGCAGGGTCATTGATTTTTGCATAGTATAATGGCCCACTGTAATTAATATTACAACACTAAACTATATACAGCTATATCAACAAAATATAAAAAAGCTCGGATTACTTTTATTACGTATAATGTGGCAAACATTCCAAATAAAAATCATCAGTTGGGCTAAGAAAAATGTACTGTTTCTTTAGGAATTGAACTTACTTCTTACGTCTTCAATGTTGCTTAAATAATCATTATTATGCACTTATTTTATTATTAAAGGCAAATACTATTAATATTTGTGATGATCCATCAGTATTTACGATGAATGCGAGAAATGCCTTTACCTTTATTGAAATTTGAATGATATGAGGAAGAGTGTCGGAGATGAAGAAAGGAAGAGAGAGAAAGAAGAATATTTCCGCACTTAAATCAGGCTTGACATATCAAGCTAATTTTTAGATTGGTCACATTTTTTTTGTATTAAATGCTCATTTAGTAATTTTTTTGTTTCTGGATAAAAATGAATTTTTTATTTCCAATGAATATATTGGAAATTTAAAAGCTTGTTGCTCGTTAAAAGAAACTAAATGAATGAAGCTTGTTGCCTGAAAACTTAAAGTGCGGTAGTTGGTTCCGTCTGTTAGTTTGTGCGGTTGAGCAATTTGTAATTCCAATAGTCAAAGTGGAATAAAAATGAAATTTATATTGTAGGCTTCATCCAAACATGGTATCATATATCTGGTAACCAAATATGGCTATGTACATTTATATGATATTGAGACAGCAGTATGCATTTATATGAATCGAATCTCATCGGAGACTATCTTCGTCACCGCCGAATATACTGCTACTGAGGGAATAATTGGCGTGAATCGAAAAGGACAGGTATTATTTCTATCGGTCTGTTGAGCTGCTTAAATCGTAACTGCTAGAAGGTGATTGGTGTCGATTGTTTGTGTAATTGAAATAAAAGCAACATAGATGTTAGACATACTTTGCGTGAAGAACAAGCGCCTATTTTTATGGTAACAGATGATCTTATTTATTAATCCTAGCAATTTTTTTGAGTGATTTAGTGTCTGTGAAGAGATGTTGATTAAAGACGTTGTTTAATAGTGTCCTGTCACATTTTTATATCTTGAAACATTTTGGAACAAAGGTCTAAACTGTACATTTTAGGTCCTGTCAGTAAGTATTGATGAGCAGAATATGATCCCATACGTGACACAAACGTTGCAAAATCCGGAGCTTGCTTTGAAATTAGCAGTGCGTTGCGATCTTCCAGGAGCTGAAGAATTATTTGTTCGTAAATTCAATCTACTTTTTGGTAATGGAAACTATGCTGAAGCTGCAAAAGTTGCTGCTACTGCTCCTCAGGTGATTGTCTTTTTCTGTGCATACTTCCATTTATTTGATTAGTTATGTTATAGATAGATTAGTCAATGTGATAGATTCAAATCTCTGATTAATTTTTAATGCCCACTGTATATATGACTGATCTATAATTCATGAAATTGAGAATATTTGGTTTATCCATGGACAGTAGAAATGCGTGTTGTTGCAGGGAATTTTAAGAACACCGCAGACAATCCAGAAGTTCCAGCAGTGTCCACATAGCGGTGGCGGACCAAGCCCTCTACTCCAATATTTTGGGATATTACTTGATCAAGGGCAACTGAACAAGTACGAAACATTGGAGTTGTGCCGACCAGTGCTAGCGCAGGTAATGTTTCTTTGCTTTAATGTTTGATGTATTTCGAAAACTGACAGATAAGAATTAACAAAAAAGATAGATTTGATTTATCTTTTATTCATTTTATTTGGAATGTTTAGAAAATGTTTCTGTTTTTCTTCTCAATTGGAAAATTTGTGAAGAACAGTACAAACAGTTCAAAAAAATGTACTGAATACATTACAAATGAACTTCTTGATTTAACTTATAGGGGAGAAAACAACTGTTGGAGAAATGGCTTACTGAGGGAAAACTTGAATGCACTGAAGAATTAGGAGATTTGGTCCGTCCACATGATGTCAACGTTGCACTATCTGTTTACCTTCGTGGTAACGTTCCTCATAAGGTTTGTGTGTTTTTATATAAATGTTTGACTAGTGAATTGCACTTGTTAGATCAATTTTTCGCACTTATTACTTTTTGAAAAACTAGTCATAAGGAAATTATTTAAAATAATTATTTAATAGTTCGATAGAATACTACCGATAAATAAATAAAAATTATCTAACAGGTTGTCCAATGCTTCGCCGAAACAGGACAATTTGATAAAATTATTTTGTATGCTAAAAAAGTGAATTTCGAGCCTGACTATTTGTTCCAACTCCGACAAGTATTACGCTCGAATCCGGAGATGGGAGCCAAATTTGCACAGATGCTTGTATCGGAGGGTGAAAATGACCCATTGGCCGATATTAACCAGGTAAATTTGCATGACAATTTAATTGAGAAGCAGTTCGTCGGAGGATATTATATTTATAAATATAATAGTGAATATGGTTTCTGAAAAACTTTTATACAAAATTGTGTAAGTAGAGGTTAAATAAAGTTGGTTATTTTGCTTCTTAAAATAATAAACAATTTGCACCATGACCGTGAGATATTCGGTAAATTTCTATAAATCTTCGAATTCCAGATAGTCGGGTGTTTTGAAGAAGTTCAGGCAGTACAACCATGTACATCGTTCTTGCTTGAGGTATTAAAAAATGATAAGGAGTCAGAGGGACATCTTCAAACAAAATTACTTGAAATGAATCTTCTTTATGCTCCACAGGTTAGTATATAAACTGAAAGATTCAGACCAACTTTTAATCTGACTCAAGATTTCAATCTTCTGTTTTTCCAAGAGAAATGCCAACTAGAATGAAGAGTTGAATTAGCATGTGGTTTTGAAACTGTTTCTGACGTTTCAGGTTGCAGATGCCATATTAGGTAATCAGATGTTCCATCACTATGATCGTGCAGCGATTGGACAGTTGTGTGAGAAAGCCGGTTTACTGCAACGAGCTTTGGAGCACTTCACTGACCTATACGATATCAAAAGAACTGTTGTTCACACTCAGCATCTTAAACCTGATGTTTGTTATTTCTTCACATCAACTATAGAAATTTTTCTTATTGAATTAAATAAATGGACATAGGTTATTGGTAGGGAAGTTTTGAATACTGCTCAAAAATCTGCATGAATTACAGTGGTTGGTGAATTATTTTGGACAACTATCAGTGGAAGATTCATTGGAATGTTTAAAAGCGATGCTACAAACAAATATGCGACAGAACTTGCAAATTGTTGTCCAAATAGCTACCAAATACCATGAACAACTTACCACCCACGCGCTCATTGATCTGTTTGAGTCGTTCAAAAGTTACGAAGGACTGTTCTATTTCCTTGGTTCTATTGTCAATTTCTCGCAAGATCCTGAAGTTCATTTTAAATATATACAGGTATGTTATGATGAAAAAAGTAGCACAATTTAAAGATGATTGATTGCACCGAATGATTAGAGAATCTGGGCGGTGGTCAGATCACTGACATGAGTAATACTTTATTTCACACATAGTTAGTATGCATGGACCTAACTAGTATTAATGAAAGATACGTTTTCAAGTAATTATTAATAAGTGTACAAGGGAGCTTTATCATACATTAGTAATATTAAATGTATCTGAAATATCAGCTTTTACTACAGGCCGCTACTAGAACTGGACAAATCAAAGAAGTGGAAAGAATTTGTCGTGAATCAAACTGCTATGAAGCAGAACGAGTTAAGAATTATTTAAAAGAGGCTAAATTAACAGACCAGTTACCTTTGATCATTGTATGCGATCGACATGATATGGTACACGATCTTGTCCTTTATCTTTATCGGAACAATTTACAGAAGTATATCGAAGTATTCGTTCAGAAGGTTATCTTTATTTGTTCATGTCATATCATCCTGAAGTTATATCATTAAACTAGAGAATTTGAACACATAATTATATATTTTTTTCGAGTTTCCAAACTTTTTACTGCATTTTTGATACTGCGAATATAACTGAATAAATATACGTTTGTTTAGGTTAATCCGGCACGACTACCTATTGTTGTTGGTGGTTTGCTGGATGTAGATTGTTCGGAAGATGCAATCAAACAGCTCATCATAAATACAAGAGGAAAATTTGATATTGATGAATTGGTTGAAGAAGTCGAAAAGAGGAATAGGTTCTTTTTGGGTTTTTTATTCGATAAAGTATTAAAAGTTTTTTACCATTAAGAATAGTAAACTTGTGATTTTTCTGTTGTGGCAGTGTAAAGTATGTAGTATTGAATTTAGACTGAAACTATTAGCTCCGTGGCTAGAGATGCGCGTTCAAGAAGGAACTACTGATCCAGCAACACATAATGCCCTTGCCAAAATCTACATTGATGCCAATAACAATCCTGAAAGATTTCTTCGTGAAAATCCATATTATGATTCGCGGATCGTCGGAAAATATTGTGAAAAAAGAGATCCACACTTTGCTTGTCTCGCATATGAACGTGGTCAATGTGATGCCGAACTTGTTAATGTAAGTTACAGTCTTTTATGTATCGAATAATATCTGCGTTTTTGTGTGTGATATAGACATAGGTTTCTTCGCATCCGTCATGCATTTCTATTTCGAACTTTTGCTTTTAAATTTCACTGGCATACATCTTATTTTTGACGGTATTTTATTTATTTCATCAGCAATCGTAAATATTTAGATTTATTTTTAGGTATGTAACGAGAATTCGCTTTTTAAAAATCTAGCACGTTATCTAGTTAAGCGACGTGACTTTCCACTTTGGGCTCAAGTGTTGGCTGAAGATAATCAACATAGAAGACAACTAATTGATCAGGCTTGTTTTCAAATTTCTCTTATAGGAATTTCAGTCTTTGTTCCTGCTATAAGTATGCTAAAGATGACTTCAGATTTCTTAATATGAAAATTCTTTTAAATCTTTCTCTTGATTTTAATGCTTAATATTATTTGTATTTACGTGTGCGTGACACATATGTACGTATTATAAATATTAAATGCCTATTTAAATAAAAATACAGGAAGAAGTTCAAGATTTGTCTTGAACAAATCTGGTGAGTATACGAAGGGACTATATTGGATTCAAACAGTTATTATTTGCTTAAAAACATACAGCAACTTAATTTTCAGGTAGTACAAACGGCTCTGTCGGAAACTCAAGATCCAGAAGATATTTCGGCAACGGTGAAGGCTTTTATGGCTGCTGATTTGCCGAATGAATTAATTGAGCTGTTGGAGAAAATCGTCCTTGACAACTCTGTCTTTTCAGAGCATAGGTAATTCTCATAGCAGTAGTAAATTCATTTGGCAGCCATTTTAAAGTTGTGATAGAAATGTGAAATTTTCAAGTATATAATGAAATGTTTGACTTTTTCATAACTGACGAGTTTCAGTATGTTTCACTTAGCAATTATTAATTTAGAAATTGGCAATTATTAGAATAATGTTACAGGAATCTTCAAAATTTGCTTATTCTGACAGCAATTAAAGCAGACCGTTCACGTGTTATGGAGTATATCCAGAAGTTGGACAATTACGATGCACCAGACATCGCCAATATTGCTGTTTCTAATCAATTATATGAAGAAGCATTTGCCATTTTCAAAAAATTTGATGTCAATACTGCAGCAGTTAATGTTCGTTGCCTCCCATTCATTTTACATTTACTACTAATTTGTCCTTTTTTATCATATTGATTGTGCTGTTTCGAACTCAAGATATTAAATGATCCATTATTTGAGAAGATTTAAGCTTAGATATTGTGGTTATATAGTTACGAAGCAATAATTATATGAAGTGCACTATCAATTTAATTTTTTAGATAAGCATAATGGAATTTTAATTTTTTTGCGATTTATTATCACATTTTCTTGCGCAGAATGAATTCTCAAATCAAGTTATTGCTTATGATAAAAATCGTACTTGTGCAGGTGCTGATTGATAATGTATCCAATTTGGACCGTGCTTACGAATTTGCGGAGCGTTGTAACGAGCCTGGTGTTTGGGCATCATTGGCAAAAGCGCAGTTAAAGGAAGGTTTAGTAAAAGAAGCTGTGGATTCATTCATTAAAGCGGATGATCCCACCGCATATATGGAAGTCGTCAGCAAATGTTCTGAAACTGGTTAGCATTCATCTATTGATACATATTTTTGATTTAAATTTGTTTTGCTTGCATGGCTGTATGAGATACTTTCTAATAGTTCCGTAGCTGCGAAAAAATTCTTAATCCTTGATCTAATCCACTTTACTTTTTAGGAAATTGGGAAGATCTGGTTCGATATTTGCAAATGGCACGAAAAAAATCGAGGGAATCATACATAGAGACAGAACTCGTCTATGCTTATGCAAAAACAAATCGCCTTGCTGATCTAGAGGAATTCATTTCGGGGCCTAATCATGCTCAAATTCAGCAAATAGGTGATCGATGTTTTGAGAGTGGAATGTATGAAGCAGCCAAAATTCTCCATAACAATATATCAAATTTCGCCAAATTGTCAGTTACACTTGTTCGGCTTAACGAATTTCAAGGTGCAGTTGATGCTGCTCGTAAAGCAAATTCAACGAAAACATGGAAGCAGGTAAGTTCGTATATTATGCTCAGTGGTAATAAAGCGGATTAAGAATATATTCAGTGCAAAAAACATTAATTGTATCTAAATTGAATTTGAATGCAAATCAATTTGCTAATATTTAATTACTTATGTTGTAATGAATCTGCAGAGATATAAAAAAATACGTAACAAGAATGTATCTGACTTAGATTTATACATTTTTGTACGTTTTACAAGTTGAGAATAATGAATTGTTATTCAGGTTTGTTTTGCTTGTGTTGATAACGAAGAATTTCGTTTGGCACAGATGTGCGGTCTTCATATCGTCGTACATGCAGATGAACTCGAAGAACTAATCAATTACTATCAGGTTTATATTCATTTTTTAACCGTATTTTAATGTTTTGGAATTTTAAGATGTCTTTTAACTTTTTTTTAGTTTTGTTTAACTTGAATAGTTTAAAAAAGAAAAAAAAAGAGAAGCAAAACTTGTTCCTTAAAACTACCACTTTTTCTTTAAAATTATTATGTGAATTGTTCTAGGAACGAGGATACTTTGAAGAATTGATTGGTCTGCTAGAGGCAGCATTGGGTTTAGAAAGGGCACATATGGGAATGTTTACTGAATTGGCAATTCTTTACAGTAAATATAAAGCAGAGAAAATGCGCGAGCATCTTGAACTGTTCTGGAGTCGAGTTAATATTCCAAAGGTGGATTTCTATATTCCTTATTTCTAGATTATTAGGTTTAAACTCGTTTAAATGACTTTAATGAAGGAATGAAATATCATCAGTTTTAGTGGTTCAACCTATGAAAGAAATTTTATTGTATTGCAGGTTTTACGTGCTGCGGAGCAAGCTCATCTGTGGTCCGAACTTGTCTTTCTGTATGATAAATATGAAGAATACGACAACGCGGCTCAAACGATGATGCATCATCCGGCGGAAGCGTGGCGAGAGCAGCACTTTAAGGAAGTGATCACTAAGGTACTTGACGTAAGATATATTTTTTTGTTATTGTGCCTTTTTTGCTGTGTTTAAAATTACTTTAAAAAGGAAATTATTTCATATATTTTATAGGTAGCGAACATAGAACTGTATTATAAGGCAATGCAATTCTATCTGGATTATAAGCCGATGCTGTTGAATGACTTACTACTTGTGCTAACACCACGACTTGATCATTCGCGAACCGTATCATTCTTTGCTAAGTGTTTGTTTTTTGTTCTTTGAGAAATTCTGATCTTTTAGATATTATATCGACATTATTAATAGCTAATCATCAATAATGTTCTTGTATAAGTGATTTTAATCTTTAGTATCGGTCTATTTTCAGTGAATCAGCTGCCTCTCGTAAAACCCTATTTACGTCAAGTGCAAACTCAAAACAACAAGTCAGTAAACGAGGCTTTAAATCAGGTGCTCATCGATGAAGAGGATTATGCTGGCCTACGGGCTTCTATTGATGCTTATGATAATTTTGATAATATTTCTTTGGCACAACAACTTGAGAAACACGAATTGCTTGAATTTAGACGCATATCTGCTTATTTGTACAGAGGAAACAATAGGTGGAAGCAAAGCGTCGAGCTCTGCAAGAAAGATAAGTTATACAAGGTAAGTGCTTCCACTGGTTTGAATTTCTTTAGATTTAATAATACTAGATTTGTAATTTTAGAACACGCTAGAAATTTAACATTTCAGGATGCGATGGAATATGCTGCGGAATCTCGAAAACCTGAAATAGCTGAAGAATTGCTAGCTTATTTCCTCGAAAATAAGTTACATGACTGCTTTGCAGCCTCACTTTATCAAATGTATGATTTATTGCACCCAGATGTTATATTGGAATTAGCATGGAAACATAAGATTATGGACTTTGCGATGCCTTATATGATTCAAGTAATGCGCGATTATCATAGCAGGGTATGTATTATTTGTCAACCTCTTTGCAGTCAGATTAAGTAGCAACAATTTATCAGAAGCATTGATTCCTATTCTCTGTTGATGTTGTTCAGCTTAATCTTTATACTCATTATTTAGCTGGAAAAGTCCTTGTTGAGGATATTGGAAAAAGATGATTTGATGTAAAGTATGTCAGAATTTGATTTAGAGCATAATACAAACTAACACCTTGTGAGATAATCATGATCATGATTCCCCCTAGAATGAAAATTTATTTCAGTCCTGTAATTTTATGAGGGATTGGATTTCTGAGGTTTGTTTCGCATGCCAGTACTTTACGATATAGCTTACGTCTGAAAGCAATAAAAAGGCACCTGGCAAAGTAATACAAATTTAAAAGATGATATCCATATAATTTGAATGTTTGCGTCTTTTTGAAATTTCAATTTTTTAACATTATTAATTGAAAAATTGTAGATTGGAAAGTTGGAAAGAGCTGAAGCAGAGAGAAAAGAAGAGGTTCAAGGAAATCAGCAACCGAATGGAAGCATAAGTTAGTGCTTTATTTGGAAGTCGAATTATTTATTTCTTGTTTTTAAGTATTTGAGAATTATTGAGATTTTAAGTTTTACTGGGATTTATTGGAATTTTTTCTGTGGTTATTATTTGGATTCTCCCACAGTCTTTTTTGGAAGATTTTAGTCATTAATTGTTAGGATGGATGTTGCATTTATAATTTGTAAAAAACTGTTGCAGTGGAACCACAGTTAATGTTGACGTTTCCGGGAGGTGCACCGATAGGTTCGGTCCCGCAAATACCTGGAACATATGGTTCAGTGGTATCTGGCGGTCCCTACGCTGGTGCTGCACCAACAACAAATGCTTATGGAACACCGATGTATCCAAGTGGTGGTTCGTATGGTATGTAGTCACCGATATTTCCCTTTCAGATTTGAAGCATGGATTTGTTTATTAGTCCTAAGGTTGGTTTTGTATAACGAGCATCAGTTTTGTTGAAAAGCGAATTTATTTCACTCTTCATTCTTGTTATACTTATTTTTTGGAAACGAATGCGAGAAATTTGACTTTCATTATCTGTTGTTATGTTGCGGAAGATATTTGAAATTAGGTTTTCAAACGATATAAACATCGAAGTATATTTTTTGTACAGGAAATCTACTTTCGTAAGAAATTTTTTGAGAAAATAATGAGTCTTTCCGAATTTGCTGTTCTTTTATTACAATTTTTGGATATTGAAATTTTTGAAGTCTCAAAATCTTAGAAATCATATGTAAATGAACAACAGTAAAACGGAAGTAATTCATTTTTTCCGATTTTTATGTATCTGGTATAGCCGACATAGGAATAATATGTGTTAAAATTCTGATCATTTATTTACTTTTTTTTATTTGCAATGCTTGTTTGTATTATACAACGCACCATGTACTAATGATAAGCGCTGCATTAGATTAACTAAATACATAACTATCTTTTTTTGTGCATATTCTTAGTGCCCTATTCTTTTACGTAAAACAATATCGATTTACTGTTATGTTCATTCATATTTCTTCTCTGTGTTACAGTAAAAATTTTTCATTGGATTTTTCCAACATACTTTTAGTAGCCTCAAAATCATTCCAAATACAGATATTTTTTAATACTTTCTCTCTTATTCGTAAAATGTCAACGTATAATTTGATATTTTAAAATATCATAAATTCCAACGAAACTTTTGATATTCTAAAAGAAACTTTGTTGAAAAAGAGAATTACTGTGTTGTTACTGAGAGCTTTGAGCCAAATATTTCTTTAAAAGTGGTTTCTACACCTTGGTGTTTATGCATGTCGTCCTGCTAGAAGTTTTTGAAAGCTATAGAGGACGGTTCCAATTCAAATTTTGCTAATTAAGCTTACAAAAAACTTGATTTCAATTCAAGCTAGCAACGAGATATCGTTGAAACGCAAAACAGTAAGTCGAAAGGAGGTGAAGTCTGTTTATGCTCTTAAAAGCAAGTGGGATAAATGAATCGGGAAAAAGCTGAAAGTGTAGTAGAACCATAAGTTTGGATTTGAGGAGTGAATTTTATTACTTCGTTCCAAGAAACATCAGTTTGATTGAACTTTCAAATTTAAGAAATCGAAAATGCGTACTATGAGAGCGACACGAGCGGAGGATTGATACGGAATGCAAAACAGGATATTCATCATTCTATGCATTTCCTACCTGGTAAACTTAACTTTCCGTTTGCTTTTCCCTCTCTATCCCTCTTTCCATTTCCTTTCTTCTCACTTGAAAAGTTTTTCACATTGGTTATTATATTTACATAGTATTGATATATAATATGTTGCTAGATTTGTTTAAAAACTTTTTGTAAACAATCTGGCAACATATTATATACCATTGATTTCATTTACAGCAATTTAGAGTTATTTCTCGATCGGAATGCATTACATTGCCATTCTCTTTTAATTATCAATATGAAGTAAATATCGGTTAGTTTTGATCCAATTAACGCAGATATGTTATATGTGAAAGTATGAATCTACATGTAACAGATAGTTTCAGCAGGCTTATGTACAGACAAGTTTTATTGTCAAATACCGCCAGCGATTGATTAATCAGTCGACTAATTTAATGGATTGTTTGCACAGTTCAACGATTATCATCGCTTTATGGAATATTGTGAGCTTTACATTTTTATCAAGTAATAATTGATATATCAAATCAATATGTTAATTAGATTTATAAATTAATAAATAAGGTAAATAGAATGATATAGTTTATATAATATATAATAGAGATAATAAATATTTCATCGTAATAAAAAGATCTATTTCATTCTTCAAATTATAGTATTTATCATTTCTAACTTCATCAGAAAGTTATTTGAAGGAAAACACATGCAAATGGCTTATTCTTCACAATTAACGATATTTTCAGATTTATTCCATTTTCCAAATTGTCATATTTGCATGGCAAACGAAATATGTTAAAAATCAACAATGGGAATTCGAAAATCGACTGATTCTTTCTGACGGAACGTATGCTTTCAATTAGTGCTTTTTCGTTTCGATTTTAAATATTTCTTAATTTATATTGATATTAAAAGGCTTATAAATCGCGTAAGTTTTATTTGGAAATGCTTTCCCATTTATAGTTTCCTAAATTGATTAGCGAATTTAATTGCTCATTTAATTATTTTTATGTATTATTTGTTTGAAATTATTCGTTCTATTTTGTTTCATTTCTCAAAGCATATAATACTACTATTACTATTATTATCACTTTTATTACTATTGCTATTGCGATAACAACTTATAGAACCTCCAAGTGTTAAAGGAGGAGGATATTTCATTACACGTTTTCAGAGTAGAACGGAGTAATAATAAAACAATTTCTCCTTATTCAAACTTGAAGAAGTTCAGGTCAACTATGCCTCTCTCATTTTAGCATTAATGTTTTCCAAGCTCGCTTTCTTGGACTGTATGGTATTTTAACGGAAACTCCAGAAAGACGTCGTATAAATGGTTAGTTTTCTTTTTTTGTAAAATGCATGATATGTAATTGTGTACTATTTATTTTATTTCTTTTTTAATATCCAATAATGAATTTATTTGAATTGTTTTGAAACTTTTTTGTTAAACGCTAGCAATTCTAACATTCACACCCATTGCATTTTTGATTATGAAATTTAATTGAAAAGTTAAAATTAATTCTGTCTCTTGTAGCTATCCTGAACTGACATTATTATATTATATCCATAAATTTAAATATCTGCAAATATTTTATCAATTATTTTTAATTTATTAGTAAAGCTTAACCCATCAAGTATGAAGTATTATTGGAACTTTGGACTTTGAAAGTTCATTACTACTTATGTCTGTCAATCAAATCTTAATTTGCCATAATGAAGTTTATTTTATATCAGATAAGCTTTATTCTTGGCACTAATTAAAATCCATTTCACTTCTTCCTCTAAATTGCAGACAGAGTAGTAAAAGCAAATATTTTTTATATTATATAATGTTTCAGCATTATTTTCACTTGCTATTGTATCATTAATTGTTGCTTTGATGCATTTAATTCTCTCAGTTATACTATTCTACGGAGCTATCACGGTAATTATTTAAATACTTAAAATTTCAAACATTTTTATTTTAAATATTTTGAATATTTGATCTTTAAATACTTTTCTTTGATGATGAACAAGAAAAGTAACTCATCAGATCTTGTTTTTTCTGTTAATAAAATACAGTTTGAATTTTCAACACTCTGAATATTCCTAAAATCGTTTCAGGATATTTAGCCAGTCTAGTATTATTTCACAAATAGTCTAGCATATTAAATGAGATTTTTGAGAAAATAGGAAGAATAGTTCATTGTTCACGTATAGTTATGATTCAGAGAGGTAGTAGCCAAGAATTCATAGTCTGATTTTTATAGTCTCACTCAACATCTGAGTAGTTATGATTGATAGCGGTATAGAATTTATTGTATGAATTTGATTTTTATTGTAAAACAGTAGTTAAATTTTCAGCCAGCATGTGCAGTGATTTGGTGATCAGGTGACATAGTTGACACACAATTGATCATGTTTGTCACGGAATTCATCCTTTTATTAGCGGTCAATGTAAGCGTTATTAGCACTTATTTGAAAAATATTTATTTTGTTTCCTTTTAAAATTCATTTTACATTCCTCACTTATGTTGAAAATTTGTTTTTTTCTCATTACTTATTAATTAATAATGAAGTATGTAGTGTTAAGCAATAAATAAGAATGGAAGTAACTTGTAATAACGGAAAGTAGTACTCAGGGTATATGTTTTGTTATTGTTTTGCTATTCTTCTTTCACGTTAAAGGAACTCTAAAGCCTCTGAAAAATGTGAATTATTCCAAAAATCTCGCCACCGATGTATTCGACAACAAAATACCGCCATGGAAGAATAATTGAACATTGAACTACACAAGGAAAGAAGGTATGTTATAAACATAAGGCCTTAATTATCTCCGTTTTTATCATGTATTCCCATGTAATGGGACAGCTTGTTGAAACATTTTGTTTCCAAAAAAGGAATAAGTTTAACTTTAATTTGGCTGTTTTATGAATGAGTCGATATTTAAGGAAGATGAGGCAAAAAGATAGAAGTTGTCGTTTACTGCATAATTCGTGCATTCTCTCTGCATTGCTATCAAAAGGTTGAAAATATAATTTTGATTGAAAATAACTTTATTTTAATTTGATCTTTACTGAGGAAGATTTAACTTCCTGCTCGCGAAACCATATTTTTTGAAGAAGCTCACATTAATGAATTATTAAGAATAATTTTAGTTGAAACATTCTAATTCAGAAAGTAGCGGACAACTACGCTTAACAGCGGACCGTTTGGCTGAACATAATCCGGTTAAGTTGGCCACTTATAGGCATAGTTATAAATCAAAAAATACAATTTCGTAATTTTATTTGTATTAGTCTTTGCATAAAAATTTACTTGCTTGATGTATCCAAATTCGACCATCGAAGAAAGAGAACTTAAAATAAATCAGATCGAGTTTGATGGAATCATTTTTAGTTTAAATTTGGTTAATTAACTATCTGCTGATATTATCGTGGCATAGTAAACTATTTGTATTCTGCAGAAGGTGAATATCCTTCGCTGTTAAAAGTTCTGCTTCTACTGGGACATTGGCAATATTCCGCGTCACTTCCTGGCATTCCTTCTTCACCAAACTCACCTGGCTCACCCTAAAATATGTTAAATGAATTTAGCCAAAATATGAAATTTTGTTTATTGCACATTTAAACGTCTAAGGATATGTCTTTGCAAAAATTTTCACTTTCATTGATTTGTTATAAATTTGCTACAAATGAAACTAAAATTGAATAGAATTTTGTTAAACTAATCAACAAAAAGAAATTAACGCATAGGAAGTGTAAAATTAGATTGGTAGATGGTTGAATTTATTACCTGCTCGCCGTCATCTCCTTTTTCACCATCAGGCCCACGTTCTCCGGGTGGCCCCTCAAGGCCTGGTTGACCAGGTTCACCTGCATCACCTTGCTCACCAGGCGGACCACTGGGACCTGGGATGCCCTTTGGACCTGGAGCTCCAACAACTTGCTCTGCATTGATACCCGGTTCACCTTGTGGTCCTTCCTCACCCATGGGTCCAGGTTGCCCATCTGCGCCCATCTATAAATTTTATATTGCAATTGAATTTCTAATTCCCACGAAATTTAAAACCTGCTACTATCATAATAAACAAGTTTCAGCGATTTATTGCATTAGCACTGGAAAAACTGTTGATGCATGAAAGAGAACTTGAAAAAATATCAGGCAACTGAGAAGCTAATCATACCTGTCCTGGAGGACCTGGTTGACCGTCGTGACCATTTGAACCGTTTCGACCGCGAGAGCCACGCATTCCTCGGGGTCCAGGACGACCTGGTGGACCAGGTTGACCTATTGGACCAGGTGGACAGTGAAAACAACTTTCGTACTGTTGTATTTGTGCTCTTATATCGTACATATCTGGACCATCCGGAGCATCCTGAATTTTGTATCTCTTTTGTAGAATATGTAGCAGTAAATCATTAACTTCCCTCAAAACAGCCTTAAAATTGGTTTGAATTTCTAACTGTTACAAAACTTAGTGATTTCTTTCACAGAAGTATACGCCTAATTCGCAATCATTCCATTCTCAAATTGGAAAGAAAATTTAATGATTAAAACAAATACCACTCCATCCATACCGTCTACGCCATCCATACCATCTGGTCCTTGCGGTCCTGGTGGTCCCATTGGGCATAAATTTTCCTTATTAACATTTTCGCCTAAAATTTATTAAAACAATTTCAACACATCCATCAATTTCTTAATGTTATTGAGCAATCAGTTAATAATGTGACAAGGAGGAGAGTATTTTCGCAATATATAAAGAACAGGATGAATTCTTTTTTTTCTAAACCAGTTTTTTCCCTCATTCAAATTTATCCGAAATTTTTATCAGCATATGAAAACAGAAGTAACCGGTGGAAGTTGAAGTTTCTACGCCTAGTTCTTCCATGTATGCTTCCGTACCTGTAACATTCACTGATAATATGTTAAAGAAAATATTTCATATCACAGAAGATAAATTTACTTCTTAACTACGCTGTGATCAAAATTATCAATTTAGGTAATAAGGAAATAGAAAGAAAATCGGTATTGATATAAACTTGCATTTTATTGGAACTCTTCCTGTAGAATTCCACAAATAATTGCTATATTGGAATCTCTTCATCTAGACCTTAATTATTATTAAAATAATGAGGTAACTGATACAGGTGAGATCATTTTGCGTAACATTTAGCTTTATGGTTCCACTTCCTTTATTGGAACTGCTTCCCTTATTAGCCCAGAGTATCTTCATCTCTACTACAGGAATCAGACGTTCTGAAAAAGATCCAGCTTGGATCTTTCAAATAGAGCTTTCTTTCAATGACTGACCAGTAACATTTGAACTGTCACCACTGAGATATTGACGACGTTGGCGATAACTAACGTTCATCGACATCATATCTTTCCAAAGATCCCTTGCTTTCAACTTAAAATATAACAAAATGCTCAATTATGTATATTTATTAGCAGTGATTGGACGCAAAAATTTCTGATTAAGAAAGTAATTAAATTAAACTCATAAAGTTTTCTATTTTCTTTTCAACTTCTCAATTACCACCATCTTTTTGACATTTGCCAAAATGAGTCTAAATATTGCACATAATATTAAAATCTTGAAATACTAATTGCAAAATGTGATCACCTTGAATGCCTCAATCTCGATATCAAGTTCACTTTCTATCATTTGTATTTCACTGATAATGTGTGCAATGGCAACAATTAAAGAGAACATAGTAGCAGCTCCGATACCGCATGTTCCGATCAAAATATTCTTGGTTTTCAACATCCTGCATTAGTAAGAATTGATGAAAGATTATGATATTGTAATCTACTACTAAACACACAGTAATCATTTATTTTATCAAATCTTTACTTTTCTCATTTTTTAGTGAAATGAATCATTTTCCTTCAGACTATTTAATATTTAATTGCATTGTTGGAATAAATTGGAAGTTTAAGCATGGTATTTAAGCTATTATTGGATTGATGAAGTTTATAAAATTCTCGCCCAAAACTTTTCCTGGTAAGTTGTACAGTTGATGATAAATAATATGTAGCATTATAAGATAAAAAGGGAAAATTAAGATGAAATAAAATAAAAATGGTCAGTGAAAGGTTTTCACAAGAAAACAAGGATGAAGATTTGTTGAATTCAAGCTAAATTAATATATTTTGGCAAATAATTTCCCACGTAGAAATCAAATCTTCCATTTTCAAAAATTTAATGACTTCATTTCCAAAATCATTGTAGGAAACAAAAGGCGTTATTGAAGATTTCCAAATTTGAAGGAAATAAGACAGAAATGACGAGGTGGGATTAACTGCTGGTGTACAATAATTGTAATACGTGAAATGATGAAATAAATATGGGTCATTAAGTGGATCATATGCCGGCAACAGTTACATCTTTCAATTAAGGATAGCAACGACGACTACTGATCCGTTTTTCTTATCAATATCATCAGATGAAATAACCAAATAAATAACTAGTATGCCAGATCAAAATAACCGAAATGAGTCGTACCTGCTACATATTCAAAATCAAAAGATATCAAAAGGATCGTTACTCGCTAATGTGTTCGAGCTAATATCGGAAATCTTGTACATTTTGAAAGCCATTTAGTATGGAAGTTATTTAATCGTTCCATACAACTGTATTTCACTTAACGCTAATTTCTTTGTAGGAATCATTTTTCAAATTATTTATCACTTCATATCACAAACCACTAATTTTTACATTTTTAGAATGATTACGGCACTTTTCTTGCAAAAATTTTGCTAATAAACAAATGACTTCATTTACACTAATTAAATGAATCAGACACATGACTGTATTTTCCTAGCTTTTTTCTTTCAAAAAAGCATAACATTTTTTTCCCGCTTTGTTAAAAGTGTTGGTTGAAAAGTAAATCGATATTGTCATTCTTGAATATAGCCTTCTGTCATGTAGCTTTTTCCCTTTTTTCATAGCTACAAGTATTTCAGTAATCGTAGACTATAATTACCAAATCTGTCTTCAAGAAGATCATCCTATCACAAATTTGTGTCAGATCGGCGCTTCGACGAGATTCAAGAACTGATTGCATTCTGCACAAACATTAATTCATGTCAAATTATTACAAAAAGAACTTCAAACGTGAAATATATAAATTTGTTAAATTTTATAACTTTTGACCAAAAAGTAGTGCTTCATCATTTTTTTTTGGTGATAAATTTACATATTAGATCGTTGTGACAACTTTCTGAATGATTTCATTCTATTCCGAATTAAGAGGATCAAATGGCGATTCTGAATTGTTCGGCAAATACAAATTGGTACGGTACAAACAGTTATAATTTTTGATCCTCTGTGCATGAAATTATAATTTGCTATTGTGCTTAACAAAATGTTTCAGAGGAGTTGAAATTGTTTTGTAAAAAGATTAAAGTTCTGTGATATTGTTGGAATATGTAAGAAGGGCTCCCTCTGTCAGTGTAGAAATTTTCATTTCGTTGGACAGTTTTTGGCTATCTTTTAATATTTTCCATTTATTCATTT